CGCGGTAGCAAATCATCATCCATTGATTCGTGGCAATTATTTACCATCATACAGGAGCGAGCATTGGACGGAACGGTACTGGTACTGCAGTGAGTGAATGAGCCATTTTCTCATCAAGATAGCCATGAGGGAACGGACAGCAATCGCTGCCTCATCTGGGTTGTTTCTGGTTCTGGCTACTTGGGCGATGGTAAGTTCCATGGTTGTTAGTGAAGAACATATCCTTTTTTGCTGCTGCTGTTCACACCTTTTGGCACCGTAAATCTCGTTGCGAGAAATCCTCTGCAATTCACACCAGACATGGATTCATCGCCATGGTTAAAACTCCATGTGTCGTTTGTTCTACGGCTGGGAATGGTTCCACATGATGAAAAATAATCCCAAACAAGGTGGTGCCCGCCCCAGTTACCACTTCGTTTATAAACCATAGTAACTACAGATATAGCTACCATAAACCCTAGTGAAATTGGAGTTATTTGCACCAACTTAGCTAACGAACTGGGGCACCACCTTCAATGGATGATTTTTTTTTGAGGGGTCCCATCGGCCGAAAAGGTACTTCATTTCGAACCTATTCCAAGTTACCCACCAAAGTAACCATGGCATTTACCACACTTTGTTGTAGATATGGACCTTCTGTGAATTTGACATCCGATTTCTGTCGGTGCCCAAAAATTCAAGGCGGGTCGATGTTTTTTTTTTCCATCGAACCAGCTAGGTTTATCAACCAACGAGCATGATGTTAACCATTGTTCATTCATAGGTAAAGCACAGATCGTATTTGAATAAGTAATTCATCCTTTTTAACAGGTGAATGTTCCATAGTTTTGCTGGGTGAAATACAGTTATGGCCCTTTACTAGGTTTTCGTCAGTGAAGTCACCCCATTCATGGTTTATGATCGCTCCATAAAATTATATGTTATAATCGGTATTTCGGGGTTTTAACTGTAAGGTTTATTTTCACCATAGTATTGATGGTCCGATTTATGATAGTTGATAATATACTACTGTATATGATGAATACTAGATGGGATGTGATATACTAGATGGCTGAGTTCACAATCTAGTATTCACCATATAATGTAGTAAACAATACTATACTGTCTTGATTTGTCCTGTATACATTACAATCTACTATTCTGGTGAACAACACCTAGATATACTTAACTAGTTTGGGTGTTAAGCATGAACCGTTTGATCTACTAGTTTGGTATTGGCTAGTTTGACTAGTTGCTTATCCCTACCCTCTGGTAAACTAACAGTTTGCTATGATAGACCACCACTATAGATCAATCAACGAACTAAATGGACATCTTCAATCATAGCAAACTGTAGCAAATTACCAGAGGGTAACTTAAACTAATCCCATTTATGGAATGTATAACCCCATTGAAATAACTCATAGCCATTGCCATGTCACTGTACTAATCCCAGGCCTGATTCATCTCAGCGTTTTCCAAACTCCTCCCGACGTCCCAGGCCTTCCGAGAGATCATGATGAAAGCGCGGCGGCAACGCTTGGGGTTGCCTCCTGAGGCAGGACAGCGTTGCGGGAGATGGTGCATGGCAGGTGCTGATCGCGAGAAAAATAGTGCTATAAAAATTTATCAACTGCTGTAATGGCTATAACAAGATGTATTGATACATATTGCAATTTAATGGCTAGTAGTAATTCATCGCTTATAACTAGTGGCTATTTAATGGCTCATAGTGGCTATTTCATTGGGAAGATGATTGATGTATAGGAGTTTAAACATAGCTATGTTTAGTTTAATGATACATGATTACCTATGGCTAGTTAATGGCTGTTTAATATTTTGGGGCTCATCTCAGTAAGTGGGTATAACTCCAGTCAGTAGGGTAAGTAGAGTTAGTGTAGCTATAATTGGAATTAATAAGCCACTTACCAACTGGGATGAGCCAGACGTAGGGAACATTATGATTAACCAGGTGGGCCCTCCACACGATAGCAAACATGATCTATAACTTGGTTACTGCAACTAGGGTCTATGGGCTTATAGAACTATCGTTTTCATGCGGGTTTATAAATCAACGAACATAACTGGGTGGCCCACCTTGTGTATAGGGATACACTATGAAGATCATGTGGTTTATTACCGTTGGTAAGCAAACATAGCTTTCAAACCAAGCCTATTGTATAATAGTTGATTTACCCACTGGAGGGTAATCCGGGCTTGACATCACATGAATTGTGGGAGACTCATCAGGAACCAGAGTGGTTTTTCTATCGGGATGATTCGTAACGTCGCTGGAATGATGCTTAATATAATCGGAAATATCCCAATATGGCCTTATTTCAGCTATTTTCAGGTTGGTAAATTACTATATAGTTCAGCCGGATATATTATATATATATATGCATATATATATATATATATATGTATATATATATATGGTCCGGGGTCCCGTGTTCCCAGCCCCTCCATGGGATGGGTCCCCAGGTAGCACCCCCTTCCCTGCTACTACGTTAGTTTACCGGAGGGTATTGGGATGATTCATGATGATTCAGATCGCTTCAGATGTAGAATGATATGTTCGAGTGTACATAAACCTGGTGGCCCCTGGCGTTTCTCCCACTTTTTGAGTTCAGAATAGCAACCCCCGGAAGGTCGGTGCCGCCCAGGCTCCGGGAAGCGTCGAGATTCGAGATCCCAATGAGCCATGAATGTGGCGCCCAGCGAAGTGAAAGGACTGATTTCACGGAAAAAAATGAGCTGATTTTCATCATCCTTCATGCAAAATTGCAATTTATTCGTTCATAACCGGTTATTTCTATGGGATTATACATTAGTTATGACTATTAGTTATACAGTGAAATGGCCATGACTATTAGTTCTAACTGGTTATAAATCGGATTATACATTCCATAAATGGTGTAATTTCAGTAATTGCAAACATAACTGGTATAATAAAGGGCCATAACTGTCGGCAGTTCAGCCAATAGTGGAGATATCATGATATCTCTGGTTATGACTAACATAGCCATGGAAAGATCCACCATTTTTAATAGGTAAACCATCGTCTATTTCTATGGGCCATCTATACCATGGCTATGAACCAGAGGGTAATTATATCTGACCCACAGCCCTGGTCGTCAGTACTCATGGCTGTATTTAATTAGATGCGTTAGGTTTTTTTTTTGCGATCAATTTTCGGATTTGCCCAAAAATTGGATACCTCAAACATTTACAACATTCAATTTTCATTTTGGTTATTCGAAGGGATACATACAAAACGCATGAACAAAGGCCACAAATTGAGTTTGGGGGTTAGTATACCCAGTCATGTGAAGACAATTGGCAAACAATTTGGTTTCAGTATTCTGGAACTGTTTTTTTTTCGAAATGTTGCGCAGCGAATCGTGTTGCAACTTTAAAATACACATCAGTATCATGCCTTGATGGAAATGTCCACAACCCATTCTCATTTTAAGATATATATTTAATGTGAACAAATGATGCACATTTTGTGCAACATTTGCGTTTTTGTTAATATGTTCCCTTTTGTATTCTATGTTTTTTTTTTAATCTATGTATCTACAGATATATCGATTATGCACATATAGATGTACACGCATGCATACACCTAGACATACAGACACACGCACCTGGCACTTCGCCTTTAGTACTGCCCACATTGGATGGGTCTGCAGGCTTCCCCCTGGGGGCAACAGGAATCTTCGCTTTCACCCGACATCTTCGGCGAGACAAAGAATGACAGCGGTCCGCCCAAAAAATGTCATGCTGCCATGCGTTTGGTGGTATTTGGTGGCCAAGGGATCGAGAGGGCTTTGTTGCCAATGTATACATGTATATTACTGCAATATTCATGTCTATTATATTATATCTCTATGGATCCAAACACTGAGAAGGTACTTAACCCTCCAAATTATAGTAAATTATACCCCAGTCCCACTTCCTGAGAAGGTACCTGGATCCATAGGGTTATATTATATATATACATAATTTAACGGGGCATATCCATACAGAACTGGATTGGAACGTTGTCATGTTCATGTTCCAGTGGAGATGCACATTCCAGTGGTCTCCCAGTCTCTTCACCTCTCCCAGTCTCCCATAGGATCCTAACGGTGCTGCTATATATGGTGTGCCATGGATTCCATCCATATCCGTCATGGGTTATAGTCCATCTTCATCCATTCTCTTCTGAATTTTTGGGCAGTTTCAACAGATTCTCCTTACGCTGCCAACGTCTCGATGTTCACGATTAGCCCATGAATGTCAAACGAGTCAAAATGCATCTGTTTGTTTTTGGTTACATACAACTACAGTTAGTTCTGTTCCTTCACCAGTTATAAGTCAATAAGTCACCCCATTTATGGAAAGTAAAATCCGATAGAAATCATAGAAATAACAAGTTATCTCACCATTTACGGCCATAACTGTAGCACTTGTTGTTGGTGGGCCCAACTAACATTCTGGGAAGATCCAGGTTGCAGGAACTGGATCTTCGGCATCGCTAATGAACAGCAGCGTATAGTTCCCTTTACCAGTTATAAATGGTGAAATAAATGGTTGTTTCTATGGGATTATACGTTATAAAAGAATGGTTGTTTCTGGTAAACTAACATAGCTATTGAAAATCACCATTTTTTTATGGGAAAACCCACTATTAATGGCCATTTTCAATAGCTACGTTAAATTACCAGAGGGTAGTGACTTATAACTGGTATTTCGGGCCATAAGTGTTCTTGATACCTCCCAGCCACAACTCCAGCAGACGTACAGCTGCTCAAACTGAGCAGAGCCCAACGTAATAGCGACATGCAAAGAATATGTGCTCCAGAGCGAACTCACCTGTATCCAAATCGACCCGTATGAGACATAGTGTCATTTGCGGAGGTTGTAACTAGAACATTTTAAATTTATTTTCAAGTACCTCAAATCAGTTCATGTGTTTTTTTCGTGGAAGATTGTCAGCAAAAAAAACTCGTTCAAGTGAACGCAGTCTGTATTGAGCCAGATTTGATAAAGTTTCAGGCTGTCATCGGCCATGTCCTGGAATTCCAGAGGAGGCCGGTGATTTTCTCATTGTCGTGTCGTGTCGTGATGCACCGCGTTAATTTTTCTGCTGCGACTTTCGACACGTGCCTGTTCCATCCCTGTTTCGGTCCGTGTGGCCAGGTGAGACTTTGTTGTCGGGCGACCTAAGTTTGTCCTAAAATGTTAGGCGATGTTGGACGGGGTATGAAAGATAGAAAAGAAAATAGATGGATAATAAATTCGTCGTTTTATGGGCATTGAAGTCAATATTGAAGTATTTAACATTATTTAAGCGTAAAACATAGAGATTGAACTTCGAACCATCAAAGATAGAAATCTAGCACATGAATAGCGCAACTAAGCAAAAGGAACTCCCAAAGAAACGGGCCCTCTCATTTTTAAAACATGGTCTGCCAAAATCTCATGATGCATCATCATCATGGTCATCATGGTCCTGGTTCAACTTGTCTTGGGGGCATATCCCACAGTTCTGTCGACGGTTTCGACCACAGCGGATCAGCTTCGAAGAGGCACGGGGACAATCCATGAGAATCCCATGAAATTCCATCCCCCGATTTTCCATATACTCCCCATTTATCAAAAATGAGTTAACATCTTAACATGTGGTTTATAACATGGTCCACAAAATAAATAGATCCATAATACTAAATCAGGGTTTCGTTATTCGTCTGTAAACCAATTATAGGGGCGAAAGCTTGACCAAGAGAAACCAGTTATGAATCGAAATGGGCAGCTAATGGTGATGACAGGATGAGGACGCACTGATTGTGATGATGACGGTGATGATGATGGATGAAAGATGAATGATGTTGATGTTGATGATTATGACTATGATCATGATGATGATGGTGATGATGATGATGATGGTGATGATGATGATGATGATGCCAACAAAATATTTGTGTTTGCCTTTTCACCTCACGCTTCACTGCCACATGAAGACAACCATTAGGGGTGCTGTTACAATCATCACAAGAATTTGCACCTAATGGCTTACCTCCTGAATGACGTTTGATGTTGGGAAAACCCCGTCTTAAGCATTGAACAGTTATCAATAAACATGTCGGATTGTTTTCAACTGTTCCCACCAAGCATTGGATTTTTTTACTGGACACCTAGTCATAATCACCGGAGCTACGTGTCATCGAACGTGTCAATGGAAAATCCCTCTATCGAATGGAGATTTGGGAAAGTCATCGAACTAGATGGTGGATTTTCCAACAAGCCATGTTTGCCGGAGGCGATTTGTGTCCTGTTTTGTAAGGTTTATCTACAAAGAGACAAACCAAAGACTGTTCTTGGTTGTCCAGGCTTTGAGAGGTCAAATGTCTTTGTGTTACAAGGAGGTGCCAATGATTAGCTAAGATGATCTATAACTAACATGGCAAGGGCTTATGATAGATATATGGATTTTTCCTAAAGGAAGCGCCAGAAGTTGATGCAGAATGCCTGCGGTCCCTTGCCTTCATGACTTGATGCTAATGTTGTTTGTCTGAGTCTGAAGCAATTCACACAGTTATGCACAATTGTTATTGGTTGCATCTCAAACCAGCAGCACATTAGCTGTGCTGTTGGCAATGACCCAGCGATGGCTGCCTACTTTGCAGGGCTTCGGGGGTCGTGCCAGGTCATAGCCAGGTCATGCCAGGCATGGAAAAGACACCTCCAGGTCGGTCTCCATTTTGGGTACCCCCCAGTCATCCATTTCAATACCCATAGGATCCATGGTGCTGCTAAATATATGGGAACATTTGCCATCCATATACCCCAAATGTTAGTATATATATATATATGCCATACATGGATCCTATGGGATATATTTTCCAGTATAAACCATCCATGAAATATCATAAAATGGGGTACCCCTATTAAAATGGATACAGAATAAACACCCTGTTGGCAACAAACAGATTTCACTTGGAGCGCCATCTTGTAGTGGTCAAGGTCCATTTCTTTTGATGAATGTTTCTTTTCCTACAGTTATGACCTGAAATACCAATTATGTTTGTACAGAAATTAACACATTTATATGGTTTATGTATAATCCCCATAGAAATAAGCTATAAGCAGTTATAACTAATGACCATAACTGTGTTGCTTTTTGGTTTTCGCAAACATCCCATGGTTTTTCCCTTCTCTTCGACCCTGCCGGCTGAGTGGAGCAAGGTCTCAGCCGGAGTATCCGAACTACGGCGAGTATCTCACGACGCAGGAACCGTGGTGATGGAGTGGATGGTGGCTTTCAGCCACGGTGTTTAAATTTTGTGAATAACCCATAGGATCCATGTATGGTATATATGCTAACATTAGGGGTATATTGATGATAAATGTTACCATATATAGCAGCACCATGGATCCTATGGGTAATATAAATGGGTTTATCGTAAATCATTTTTATGGGGTGACTGTACTGACTTGACTGGTTCGGGCAATAACTGTGAGGCGATTAAGTATGATCAAATATTAGGCTCATCCGGCAAACACGGGCACGCTAACAAACATCCCCATTACGACTTGCAGATCCCCGCGGTGAGGGAACAGTGAAAAAAAAAACTGAAATCCCAATTGGACTATTTTAAATAGCAATTGGTAGCTGAATTGTCAAGATATCCCGATTCAAGGAGTTCCACTCCATCACTGCAGATTGGTAACCCAGCATTGGACAAGCTAAGCCTACAGCATACTGATCAAGGTCACCTTGTGATCCAATAGTACCAGTTTCCAATCTTCCATGGAAATAGATGCCTGCCAAAGCATTGGCGCCTGTTTGGTTCCAGCGTTCCATGCTCAATTTTGTTGGTGTGTACCATGTTCATAAAGTGTTGGTCATTTCAAGTCTCGAGGGTATGCATGTTTTATCATCTGTCATCAAAAATTGGAATATTAGTTAATCAGTTAATCATGTTGTTAATCATTAATACACATGTTTCATCAAAATTCAGAAAACACACGTCTATCTTTCACCGTTATCCTCATGTTTGCTGCATATCCCACTTGGCATTTTTTAATTGAAGCCTTGGAAGATCACCTCACGACTCGCTATTGGCAACTGGGAGTCTATTTTGCCCATATACATCATATGAAAATATATGTTATAGCATAATGTTATAATCCCATATTAACCCCGTTTATATATCCATTTATTATGTACATCATATGTTATCCATGATTGAACATATAAATGGAATAATCCACTTAGTGGACTTACTAACCAGGCAATTCAGAAACATACCCGATGTGGTGGGGGATGTCATGATGACAGTGATGACAGTGCATCTGCGGTGGCCAGGGTCGGAACAGTCTGTTGTCACCGTAGATGTTTATTCCATCCCCCCAATTCTGTTTTAATCTACCTCCTGAGCAACTACTTGACCCTCAAATCACACCCCAAATGCTCAAAAACTGACAACTGGATACCCTAAACAGATCTAAACAGACACTGGAACATGAAAAGCATTGCCTGTGAGACTGGCCATAACTGGTGGTATGCGCCACTTCCATGGTGCACCTTGAAATTCCATGGTTGATTGTCGTTGATTGTTTCATTTCATGGCCATGAAATGGGTTTTTCCAATGGTTTTCCTACATGAGAAACCTATGTCATAAATCCATGTACCCTCTCGTGATTTAACATAACTATGGAAAATCACCATTTTCAATGGGTAAATCCACCAATCAATGTCATTCTCAATAGCTATGTTAGTTTACCAGAGGGTAAATCCCCTATCTTTCCATGGTTTCCACTTAAAATGGCAACCGGTCAATTCCCCAAGTTTTTTTGGCAGAGCCTCGTACTGCCCCCCGAAATCCCCAGCATTACTGGCTGCCCCAGCTGCTTTCCAGGAAGCATATGCTGAAGGTGCGACCTGTGAAGGCAATTGTCAAGGGGTACCCTCTGGCAGACTACCATAGCTACGGAAAATCACCATTTTTAATGGGAACTATAAATAGCAAATTTCAATAGCTATGTTAGTTTACCAGAGGGTATCACCTTTTTTGTGGCTTTAAAATCGGCTAGCTTCACGTGTTTGATCCATCTGTATTGATCCCATCCACAGCCCTATTCTATGGTCCCAAGTATATCCAAATACGTGTTTTATCATCTATCAAAACAACAGTGAATCGGGGAGGTTTTTTTCAGTCTCCACGGGGGAAGGCATGATAATCCAACAACTTATAATTAATCCCCCAAAGAAAAACAACAGTTTTCATGGTGGGATTCTAGTTTAGGGGGGTTACACTATGTGGGTGGGATTATTTTATCAAGTGTACCCCCTTAATATAAGCCCCATTCATAAGAATCGCATATCCCATCACGTAGTTAATAATGACATAAGTTGTAGTCCAGCAATTGTAACAATTTCCAATATGTGATCATTCATTTAACACATAATCCATCTAACAAATTGTTCATAAACTGGGGACGTGGTTATTTAATTAAGTGTAACGCTAGTCATTCGCTTTGACTTCCCACGTTTCCTGCAGATGCGCCACAGAAAAAAATCCGAGTGTCCAAAGGTGAGGCCATGGATATTTTCTGTTGGGGATAGTTTCAACTATTTTGTTGAAGGTTTCAGGCTTGATGAAACTCCCGCAAAGGACATTTTATACATAAAGGCACAAGTTTGTTCCTTTGAATTATCATGTTGGTGGTTTTTGAAGACGCCTGGTCTTGTCTTCCCCGCTTGAAAAGCTTTTCTATATCATGGTTAAGAGACTCATCCCAGAAATGACCAGACGCGTACCTGGCGAAGAATCCCATTCCCTCAGATATGATTTTCACCCATTTTCGATATCCTGGTTTTGGCTCGGATCTATTTATTATAGGGGTCCAAAGAATTGGGCTATATTTGAACGGAGGTGGAATGAAATTGCATCCACATTACCTACGTACGATTATACCCATGTTGATACTAGTTTGGTAGTGATTAACCATGGTTATAAGTGTGATAAACCCAATGATCAACCTACCATTTGGGGATCATTTGCATCACACATGTATCAGGTATCAGACATATTGGGGCTGGTTTAGTATTAGTTTGACACAGCTTGTAGCCATGAAATTCCCCCGGCTTTGCCACGCCTGTTGCGTATCAGGTTCCGCTGCCAGAGCCCATGATTCACACCCTGAGGAGCTGGGAACTGTCATCATGGCTGGGAAATTCTCGAACATGGAGGTGTACAGTTATGGCCACTTATTATTTATAGCTGGTTTGAAGGGATTATGCCTGCATTTCATTTTTATAGGGTTATAAGATGTTATTTCAATAGTTATAACTTGGGCCATAACTGTACAAATGCTGGGAAAATTATCGAAATTCATAGAGCAGTTGTTCCAGCTGTACATTATAACAAATATGTACAGCCATATCTTATAACATGTTTTCCATAGATGGGAAAATGATCTGAGCTTGAGGACTTTAAGCCACTAGAACAAGGCGAGTTCAGCTAACATGGGCGTTGAAGTGCTTCTGCTTTGACCAAGAGAAGATCAGAAAATGGTGACTGTTTTGACCATATGAAAACCAACCAAAAGTGGGCCCAGACAGGAAATTGTTCTATAGTTGAAGGATGAACATCTCTGCCTTTGGATCGGATCGCCAAATTTGTTACTGCTGAAACCGCAAAGCTGGATTTCTATGAGAAATTGACCCACTGACAGAGGAATCATATTGTTTTATTCAAGTGGTTGTTGATACCATGTTTAACTCCAATATTCAACCATTTACATTCATTTTACCAGTTTATATTATAGTTATATATATATATATTTACATATCCATTAGTTGATACTAGGGGGAGGGGATTCTCATCATACTAACGATGACATAGGTTCTGGATAAATTACAATGGCCTCACGTCGCGACGTTAATTGAATGATGAAGGATGTTTAGTAGGGGTCGCCATCCCTAAGAAAGTAGCGTTGAGTCAGCTCTTGGTGGTTGCACTGTTACCTCAAGAGCAGTATTGAGCAGTCGAAAATGCAATGGCGGTGTATTACGAGGGCCAGGTGGAGGAGTAAATCATAGCCAACACATTGCTTAACGTTCGCTACAGAGCGCTGGACAATGCACATGCGAAGGGGCAAGCATCAAGATCTCCAACAGAAACAGGTGGAGAGCAAGGAAAGCAAGAGGTGTCACAGGCAGAAGTGTAAGGTCGTCGTGGCAGGCCAAGGTTGTCAACCAGTTGAAGGTGAATGATCATAATTCATCCACATAGTTGACCAAAAACAATTTAAGGAACAATGAACCCATGGTTGGTTTCAACCATGCTTCATATGGTTTTCCAAAAAAAAAAGGGAATCGGCTGTCTCGCTGCCCTGCAAGTGTCCACATCTTTTTTCATCCTCTAGATGACATGTTGAAAACACAGTTATTCATTTTGTTTCTCACCTTTGGAAAAATCATTTAAAAGAGCATCATTTTGTATTGCGTGGGCCAATTCAAAATGAATGAACTGGTATTTCGTTGAGGTGAAGCTATCATTTTTGATCACATTGGGAAAACACTTTGAACATGCGTGTTGATCTAACACATCACCTGCCCGAACGGCTCGAAGCATGACGGAAATACTATTTCTAACACAATACCATCGCCCATTGTATCGCTCCGAAGCATCTTTTCTCAACTTTGCCACAAGCATTCGGGAAGTTCTTGTGTAATGGAACTTACGATGCAAGCATTATGCCTCCACTGGAAACAGCTGCTAGCGTAGCATCTAAGGCATGTGCAAGCGTAGCAACATATCCTGCTACCGTAGCATGGAACATTTGCTAGTGTAGCATCTAAGGATGTGCTAGCGTAGCAACTTTTTTCCGGTTGCCGAAGCATGGATCATCTGCTACCGTAGCATCTAAGGCATGTGCAAGCACAGAAACATATTCTCTGTTGCCGTAGCATGGAACATATGCCAGCGTACATATCCAAACCAAAACGCAGAGCACAAGAACGTTATTGGCCCCATCCCACCCCACCCCATTCCACCCCGCCGTACCAAGACCGAATCATACCTTGCACACACAACATCCAAGTATGCAGTAAGCAAAAATTGACAAGCCTTCTGGGACGGCGATTCAGCCGATAAGTTGGTTTATAAACCATAGTAACTAGTTCGATATAGCGACCATAAACCATAGAATTCAGCCACTTAAACCCCATTCACTAGTTCTTTATATCTACTATAAACCATAGAATTCATTCATAGCCATGTCTCAAGTGAACGCGAGCTCGAACGGGGGCCCTACTTTTGGGGATTCCCGCGTCCATCCAAGTCATCCACAACCATGAGATAGCCGGCTTGGTCTTTCTTTAGCAATACAGAACTGTTGATTCACCGCCTGGCTGACTTTCGACACTGGGATTTTCTATGTGATGCAGTTCATGGAGACCCTGCTGATCATCTACTGACCTTGGAGCACTATGAGGAATGGTGCTTGGCGCTATGTCAACAAGATGAAAGGCGACGTCGCAAGGATCCAGTTCTGCGTGTACCAGGAGAGGGTCCTTGTCCATGCGTATTCTGGACGCCGACGACATGGCGACTTTCAATGATTCTTGGACTCCATCGCGACAGAAAGACAAATCCCTTGGCTGTGTGTGGTTTCTCTGGACCTCAGCAGACTGGGGAGACATAGGAAAGCCCAAGACCTATGTTTTTTGGACTCAGGCAATCCGAAGCGGGTATGTTCAGGGCATGCTGAGCAAGATCCGCTCTGCAGAGCTCCTCAGTTGATTTGTAAACCCCATTAATAATGGATATATACTTGAGACTTGAGATAGTTAAAAATCAACTGAGCTATCTAGGGGGCCCCGGATTGTAAGGACTCATGAAAAAAATGGGGCTGATGAACTACTGTAAACCGTATGAAAGTGGAACCTTTTCTAACCAACTAGTATTTCATGAGATGGGACAAAGGAAGCCCAATAATATTCCATCACGTCACATTCCCACATCCCCCATCTATATTCCACTAATATTCCATTATTAGTGTGAGTGTTTTACGGACCACACCCTGGCTCATCCCCTTAACTGCAGGGGTGAGGTAGTGGCCCGCCTGTCCGCCTAGTGTTGCGCCCGGGTATTGAACCCGGGTCTGACGCATGAGGGATGCGTTTTATCCACTAGACCATATGATCATTGTAATTTGTGTTAAACCACCATATCAACTCCCATGTTAGTTTAAAATCCCATTACGGCCCATTATAATCCAGTAATACCTCATTAAACCCCATCAAATCAGCATCAATGTGGCAGCTTGTCCATTGTTCAATTGTGTGTTATGTGTATATATATATATAAAGTTCCATTCATTGGATCGCATTAAACCAAGAACCCCATGGGATACTCACTCTTTAAATACTCCCATGTTTTAGCCTTTCGGAATCCTAATAGATCATTATTATGTTGGCGAAATGAAAGGACATTATTGTTAAATCACCATTTAGAATTCCATTAGAATCCCATTACCCTCTGAACATGGCAATTTATAGTTGATTTCCCATTAAAAAATGGTGGTTTTCCATACTTATGTTAGTTTACCAGAGGGTATCCCCATCTTATCCATACAAAGTGGTGTCCCATAGTTAGCCACGTTGCTTTGCAACTAGCTTGAGCATGGTTAAACGGTTAAATTAGGGTTTTTGGTAGATATATCCATAGTATATCCATAGTCAATGGTTAATATCCAAGTACTCGTACAATCCCATTAAATCCACTAATTAATTCTCTTAAAATCAGTAATTAAATGCCATTAAATCACTAAATTCCTATGAGTATTCCCAACAAATCAAAGTTCCATTAGAGTCCCATGAATCCCGGAGCCTTTCGATAAAGGACGACGAGGTGGCCCGGTTTTTCGTGGCTGGCATGGCAAAGGTGTGATGGCCGGTTTCATTCAAAAACGGGTGGGGCCCCTGTTTGGCAAAAAAAAGTGATCAAACCAACAAAACATAGCGAATTAATGATTTTAAGTGGATGTTAATGGGATTTAAATGGTGATTAAATGGTATTTGATGGGATTTAGTGGAGATAGATCGGTGATTGAATGGGATTTTGATAGGATTTCATAGGATTTCACGAACCGAACTTGGTAAATTCCAGGGTTTATGCGGGATGTAACTATAGTATACTAGGGAATTATGAAATAGTTTTGCTTAAAACCGAAGGGCCTACCTTGTAGGACCCGCAAACATTTTTTTTTTCAGAGTGTTTTCTGCTAGGTTCACTGCGGACCATTATCATTTGGACAACATGGTGCTATTTGTTCCTTGTTTTATAGCTTCAGTAGCTGTTGAGTTTATGGTGGATATATCCAACTAGTCAATGGGTGTTGTATACTCCCAACATACACAACTTGAGGGCCAACACTTTGTATCAAAGTTTCTGAAAATGAGGTCACCCCAGAATCATCCAAAACTTGTGATTTTGTTATATCAGTGAAACCAACAGTTTTGGGGTGTGTATATATATATAATTATATATATATACATACATACATGTTAGGTGGTTTAAAATAATATATGTCTATTTTTTTATTTGCCCAGGTGCATGGAAAATCATCCAAACAATGATTTGCTTCAAAGTGATTATTCGCCCACTTCTATGTCCTAAAAAGGTGTTTTTTTGTTCTTTCAGATTTTCAGTAAGATAGGATTTTCTCAATTTGCCCAGATGTTTTGTAGGACAAAACATGTGATTCTTTGCATCGCCGCCCATGCCTAGCAAACTCATCGAATCCCGTTGTTCGTCAACATATCAAGGGACAAAATCAAAACTAATGCAAAGTAATTGAATGAATGTGAGCAATGATGCGATACTTCATTTTCATTTTTTCCCCATCGTAAGTTGCCATAAATCAAGGATAATCCCCCATGAAGTAGTAGTTAAATCATATCTACCATAAACCATGGTTATTACACTTATGTTTGCCAACTTAGACTTCAGAAAATGGACCCGGAATCAAGTAACTGTGTCAATATATATATATCTATGAGAAATCGTAGAACTCAGTTCACCAACTTTGCATATTGTTGCAAATAAAACCCATCAAAGCGGATAAATCAATGATAAATCCCATTGACTATAGTTATAGTACTGGTTGGTGGTTTGGAACATTTTTTGTTTTTCCATATATTATTGGGAATAATACTCCCAACTGACGAAATCATATTTTTCAGAGGGGTATTTCAACCACCAACCAGCAATTAATTCCATGAATTCCTCAATGATTTCACCTTGACGAGTGGGACGGCCAGGCCGATGAGGAAGGTTTGAACCTCTTCGCCCAGGCACCCGTCCGAGTGCGGACTCCCAGTACTCCCAGCAAGATGTTGCAAGTTGAAGCCCTCGTTTTTCGAGAATTCGTTGAGTTGGTAAAGAGAACTTGGTGAATTCTATGGATATAACCAAACTTATATAACCAATTCTATTGGTTTATAACCCCATTATAAACATTCTATAAACTTGGTGAATTATCTATTCTTAATGGGGTTATATCCAAACTTATAACTGGGATTAACCATTCAAAGTTGGGAGACAACTAAAACACATGAACCACTTACAATGGTGATTTAACCAGGAAAATTGGTGCTTCCCCCCCCCCTATCGATAGCAAAAGGTGAAATCCTATGGTTCAGCAGAACTTGATAAAGCAACCAATATTATTGGCGGAGGCACACATTGTACCTGCAAACAGCTGGATTTCACCAAGCAAGCACAGCATTTATCGGCGCGAAAAGTGGTTTACCATCCGGCTATTTAGCATAGCTATGGAAAATCCATTATAAATGGGGGTTTTAATGGGAAAATCATCTGTAAATGGGCCATTTTCCATGGCTATCTTAAATAACCAGAGGATCCAGAGGGTAACCAGCAAAAAAACAACCTAATGATAAAATTGAGTTCACCAACCAAAAGGGGTGATTGAAACATCATGCATCAATCTCTGAAACAGCCATGAATGGAATATGACAGTTGATGACCTGAACATTTCATATCCCACTATAGATCATCAACAGTATTCAGTATCCGATTATAGCATATCCCAGCATAAACGATTAATGTTCTATAATATCACTGTTGATGAATATGATCAACTCAATAATCAACTCAATAAAACAATCCATGATGGTGCTCTTTCTGTTTGCAAAGGATTTTTTTTCGATGGATGTCGACAAAAAGGAACCCCATGTTTGGACTGAGCGACTGCCTTGAACAGTTTGGTATCCTGCGGGCCGAAATATGTTAAGATATCCCGGTAAATTGTTTGTATATATATTCGAATTATTAGACATGTTTTGACCACAAAAAATCCTTGCGCATGTGTTTGTTTGTTTTAAGGATTGTAAATATACATGTTCAATATACAAATATTGAACGTGCCTACTTGCCTAATATTAGATATTAGATTGTTTGTTTCCACTGTGAAAACTGAGACAAACAAGCAAATTCTGATGCGGAGATGGGTTGCTGGTCCTGCCCATGAAAGGTACGGCCTCCGCAGAGGTGGCCAAACAAGTCGGTTTTGAGTCCAATTAAGAGTAAATGTGGCATAACTGGTTGGTGGTTTGGAACCATGGAATTTTATGACTTTCCATTCAGATGGGAATGTCATCATCCCAACTGACGAACTCCATCATTTTTCAGAGAAGTAGGCTCAACCACCAACCAGATAATGTTGCTTGTCAAATCATCATTTCATATGAGTTTCTGATATGAATCCCTAACATGTTGTGTTTTCTGCCCCATTCTTGTTGCTTAAATGGGGCTTGGATCCCCATTTTTTCCCATGGTTGGTAAGATCCACCTGCTGTAGATCCCATCCCGGCGCGTCTCGGTCCTGACGTTGACTGCAAGGTACCTTGCCGCAGCGCCACACCTAGTCCGTTGACCCCAGGGGTCGGGTGCGGAACGCACCATGAGTGAAACAGCGAAGTTTCATGGGACGTTCAACCAACTCGATGACGTTTTTTTTGGTGTTCGTTGCCAGTGCACGTTGGGAAGTTTGTACAGGATCCAGTGGTTTTCCATGTTCATTCTCTTTGCGATGATGGATATGAAAAAAATGGAAACCCCTGAAAAGGATGGGATAGAATGGATTTTTTAAGACGACTTTTCCTTGATGTTCCACAGTGAGATACAGTCCGGTGACACCCCAATCATAAGTCTTTATCGAGGTTCTTTGGCACTAGCAAAGGTTAATTCCTAACCATATTTGGGGGAGGGAGGGGCACATTTTTGGAGGGGGGGTCGGGGTCGTGGTTGAATGCCCAGTAGAACAAGTTTACTTTTAAATACTCTTAATACGGGATTTATATCATGTTTTAGCATGAAACACGATACAACCCGTCGCTTTGAGAGATCTTTGGCAGAAACTGCCCTGACATTTGGGGATCCTGCAGGGGACGGGTTTTTCCCACTTGTAAGTTGGTTTATATTCCAGCCTAACGATAGATATATCCGCCATGAATCCTAGTTACATAGCATATGTCTATATATATATATCTAGACTCTAGACATAAAATATGATATAAGCCAACTTGCCTATCTAGGGGAATATTTTTCCTCATGGCACTCACTTGCCTCTGAGACATTATCATTTTGTGCTGGATCTGCCTTTGTTTGTGCTCCTTTGATTTCCAGAAGCTTGCCATTGCTGTTGGATAGGTGTGTTCCAAGTTCTCGCCGCTCGCCATGTACAGTCGTACAAGGGGGTTCCATCCATATTCCATTTGATCGTTGTTTTTTCTTGTTTTGTCCTGTTTTTTTTTAACAACTGAATGTTTATGTTTTTTCATCTTCACAAGTTCATTGAAATTTGCTCAGGTGATACATATAATATACCGTTTGATGCGGGTGTCATGCTGGGCTACCACATTTTGAGACAAATGATAAGCACACGGAAGTAAATTTGTCATTTTACCTATATATGATATATATATATATTTATTTTCCAATATATGTTATATATATAATTATATATATATGTTATATATATAATTATATATATATATGTTATATATATAATTATAACTATAGATGTAAATAAATAAATATATATATATATATTTAAATATGATATATATAATGTGTATATATGTATATATATATATATGTATTTTTACCTAATTTATCTCCTTGTAGCTGGGGTGTTTAGAGCAACAAGCCTTAATAAAGAGCCACGGACACCACTTGGCCAAACGGCACTGGTGAACTTTGTCGTAACCTGGCCGCTTTGCAGCCAGATTCCTATTATTGCTTTAAGTACCTCAAACATCATAACTATGTACTTAAATTATATTAAAAGGATCATTAAACAGACTTAAAATAATATGAAACGATTGTTTTCATTACTTACATGACATCAAAAAGATGATTTACATTCATTTACGGGAATCTCCTATCATTCGTAGGAAAACTCTACGGTAAAGCCCCATGCTTCAGGTCGCCGAAATCGAGTGGTGCCCAAGGTGGGGGGAAACCCCCGGAAAAGGGGGTGGTTTGAAGGGAAAACATGGAGGAAACAAGGAACAACAGCGAAATATGGAAAAACAATCAAGAAAATGGGGCAAAACAACTCTGTAATGTTACGGAAAACATCTGGCATCTGGAAACCAAGGTTAAAACAACAAACTAGTACCTTCTTGTTATTCAACGGTTTGCTATGGAGGTCCGTATAGACGATTTACCTTGTAATGATGATTTCGCTGGGAAACTAGTCCCTACAGCTCCAAATAACTTCGACTGTGGGGTTGGGTTCGTTTTCTTATGTCTAAACACCTTCTCAGATGTTTTTTCGAGCACTAGGGAATAGACACGTGTTTTCTTGTCCGATAGGTGGCGAGTTGCCCCCAGCATACCCTGGAAGATTTGCCCCTTCGCTGTGCTCCAGGACTACGGAAGTGAAAGGCGCGCGGGTTGGGGATGGGCCTTTCTGGTGTCCTGAAATCCCTCATAAATTGGAGGTTTACAGCTGGGTTTGCTGACACCAGGGGGTTTGGCTTGGACGTCCAGCAGGTATCGTTGAACGATTGAAACTATGGCGTGTGGTTGAGGGATTATAACAATTTCTGGATTATAAGTCCTTATCCCATTCATGTTAAACACGCAAGGGATAAAGAGACATATTTATTATTTGGGACGATAGAATGGGGGGCTCAAATTTTAATTCTAGGACATGATTTACCCTTGGCTAATCAAACTTTGGATGAGTTTCCCATTTGCATGTCCAGTGAGATAGAGGACTTCCCTTTGCATTGTTTGAATACTGGAGGGTAGATTTGCTGAACGTGATTTATACCCTAGACCCTCCGAGTACCCATAAACATGTGTATTTTATCCCATAATTTGAGGAAGTTTCAAAATTCTTATCAGGTGCCATATTGTATCTACATATAAATCCATGGGTTAATCATCATTATCCCTCTTGAATTGGCCATTTTGGGGAATACACAATTTTCATACAAACACATACAAGGGGGGGGCGCCCGTTCGATAGCTAAGTTTGTGAACAGAACTTTGTCACCTTGGGTTTATGGGATTTATAACTATAGTTCATCGGGATTGCAAACACACTTCTAACATCTTCTAACTAACTAGCAGGCCCCACCTTGTATATATTTGGGTATTGGTCAAAATTAAAGTCAATGGGGACCATTGATTTTAGTCTATTTTTAGTATTGCACATGCAGTTGTTGGGGTACCCAACTTTTGACCCATAACCATTCATTTATTTATATATATATACATACAGAGAAATACCACATAATATATATATATATAATATGTGTGTGTGTGTCACATGCTATAGTTCAGCCTGATATATACCAGTTGTAAAACAGCAATATGATGCATGTACCAACTTCTCAGTGAGCGAAACCATGCCGAAACATTCGTGGCCTGCAGCTGTCACAAGCTGGGAAGACAGTGTGAAATTTGCCCAGCTGCTGCTTGGAACGGATGCGCGGGTGGAAAACTATGCGGATCGTTTTCCACGATCCAGCACGAACTTTTTTCTGTTGTTTGCCAAGGGGGCGTGCAAAGCTCCGCGTCCTCTCAGTGGCATTGCGGATTTGATTCCTGCGCAATTGTCTGAGATCAAAAACTATGAAATTGGGAAGCGTGGAAACTTCCACAATCCATTGAAGCCCCAGCAGATGTTGGCGCGCAAGGGGGCACTGTGCCAGTGGTTGATCCTCAAGTACCACGTTTTTTTTGGGATGTCAATTTGGACAAACTCAAATAGACAAATAACTAGACCCTGGCGCGATATATGGTGGCTAAAATCCACAGGCTGGAAATGAGAAGATGGCTACGGGTCAACACCGGACCCTTGTGCACCTCCAGAAAGTTGAGTATGATATTCATTACCCGTATATACATATATCATAGTGCATTATAGTGCATATAATATCCTCTATTTGTTTGTTTTAAATGTTATGTATAGGATGTTTGTTTGGTGCGAACTCAATGCCATGTCATGCTTCAAAGACTCGCGATGATGGGCGAATTCAATTGGTTTTGATTCAATGATTTCAGCATATCACTCAATCATTTTTCCTAAGATTATGCAGTTGTGGCCCTTTGCCAGTTATAATTACTTACAACCGCATTTATGGAATGTACAATCCCATGTGTAACAAGATATAACTAATAAAATGACCATAAGTGTATGCAGTGACCCCCCAAAAGATGCCGACAGATCAAATCCTACTAAAACTGCGGTAAATTGAGCCGGACCTTGTTTGGTTAATCAAATCCCTACTTTGACTAGTCTAATTTCCAACTTACATTGGTCAAATCTTCTATTTGGTGGGTCAAATTCCCATTTCAGTTTTTGATTTTGCTGAATTCCCATTTCGGTTGGTGACGTATCCTTTTTCTGCATTCGATTTAAACAGAATTAAACCAGTGACCTAATCCCACGAACCAAGCAATTCATCACAAACAAAGATGGATTAGTAGCGTAAACTGCGGCCCATGTCACATAGTGATTTTTGGAATCCGACGTATGGTGTCCCATACTGATGTTTGACATCGTACTTGAAGCCACCAACATCCAACGAAATCATATTTATATAATATAAAGATAACCAGCAGGTTTTCATGATTTTAATTGAATTTTAATGGAATCGTCCCAAAAACAAGTCCATTGATCCCTCAAACAATAAGATGATACTAATTTTGAGTAAATTAATATCTTATTCTTAACCCCATTAATATTAATGGAATTCCATTGATATTAATTTACATTAATGAGATTTTTCATCAGAATAACAGTTCGCCAGGCCGCAGTGGAACAGTTCGACCGTCCCTAAACCTTGGTCTCTGGAGGGCTTCAAGGTCAGAAAAAAGGGGGGTGAAGCATGGTGAAAATGGAGAAATATGGCGTGGAAAAATGGTTTTACCATGTTATATGGTTTATATTGGAGTGGAAATGGAGAAATATGGAGTGGAAATATTGCTATATTTTATGCATTGAAATATGGTGTTACCATAATTATATATCTTATGTTACTTGTGTCTTTTTATATCATGGAATGATTTACAAGAATATGATTTAATTCTTTCGGTGTGTCAAGGCAAAACAAACTGGTTTATCATCAAATTTGAGGTCTATTCTCAGACCCAAATGGTGAACATTAGGAACTTCAATTGGATTTGTGGCTCAATGTTGGTGAATGGTCTGGATTGGTGATAGATCCAACAGCAATGGAGTATATACCACAAAACATGGGAGTGAAAAATGGTTACTGGAATCAACATGAAAATCCTATGAAGTTGGGTCATTCTGTCTATCATGATTTGTAGTTTCAGGGTCTGGGTATCTATTGGTTGTAGCTAGTTGACCTTCCAGGAAGGGATGTTTGAGACAGAGTATATCCCAGATGCTCCATGTATGGAATATTTACGTACAAAACTGGGGAAATTGTGGGGTAAATGTAGGTAAATATTCCAGCACCATGGTTCGCATATGGGTATAGTAAGTTAGCCCCTTTTTTCTCATCCGAAAAGTCTTGAGCTGCTTTGAAGTTGTCCTGTCCGATGTTTGATCCCAAGTGATGGATGTGTCAAGCACCACCCGGTTGGTTCATCAAGCTACACTGCTGGTCGCTTGCTGATGGCCTGTTCTTGGTTAACAACCCGTTCTTTGTACATTCTGCATTTGCATTCTCATTGCATGGTGTTCAAACAAAAAAAAAGTGAAATACACGATTTGAGACCATTTATGCAGATACACGCAGAGCGATTTTCCCGATTTCATGGATTTGACCAGAAGCTTGATCACATTGCAAAGTGACAATGTGGGGCCCCCAAACATTATGTGAATGTTGGTTTAGTTTCAGACTATGGTTATATAATATTAGTATATAATAAACCTCATACAGTTATGGGAGTTATGTTCACCAACGACTAGCTATCTACATCCCATGGCAAATCCCAATCATAATTTCAGAATTAAATCCCCAGAAATCACCATTTAATCCCAAAATCACCATTAAGTCCCATTAAAAATCACCAGAAATCACCATGAAATGCCATTAAAGTCCATTAACTCACCATTTCTTGTTAGCTTCACGGCATGAAATCACCCTTGGCCCAAAAAGGCCCAGCGTACTCCTCTGGCAGCCTGGGCGTTGAATGAGGATCGCAGGCGCGGTTCGGTCGAAATCGGTGGTGGGATTGGGGAGGGTGGTCCCACCATGTCCCACCCCAGTGATGAATTCATGGCTATAGGGAAATTAATGGTGATTCATGGTGATGAATGGTGATGAATATGGGATTTTATCACCGTTTTTATCTACAGTGAAATGGACATTTATGAGTAACTGGTGATTAATGGTGATTTATGGTGATTAATAGTGATTAATGGTGATTTATGCTTGATGAATATGGGATTTATAGGGACTTATGGGATTTTATCACCGTAGCATCTACAGTGAAATGGACATTTATGAGTAACTGGTGATTAATGGTGATTATGATTGTGGTTAATATTAGTTAATAGTGATTATTGTTCTAGGTTAAGCTTGGATGCGTAGAAACTAATCCTTTGGTCTTTTGATATCAATGGGATTATCTACTTACCAGCTAATATGTTTTTTTGTTTGGCAGGGTATCTAAGATTGGCCATGTGTTGATTTATAATTTTCATGAAGATTTTCCAGCAAGCCATTTTGATGACACCAGAGAGTAAGTCATTTCCCCATAATCCCATCTGTTCATATTATACACGGAGCTGATGGCACCGGAGGGCAGTCATTTTTTTATGGGTTATGGCCCAAGTCATGCCAGTTATAAGCACTGAACTAACCCCAGCAAAAATGTTTATGTATAATCCCATTGAAATAAGCAAATATTTCACAATTTTTCATCACATGTTTAGCGATTATTAAACAATATTAAACATTACTATCCACTATTCATCACCATTAATCACCATTAATTACCATGAATCACTATAGAAATCACCAGTTATAATTCCATAGAAATCAGTTATTTCCCTATGTTTGTGTATAATCCCATAGAAATCACCAGTTATTTCACGAAAATAGCCATAGCCGCGGAGACCCAGCCGATGTCGTGACCCGCTTCGCCGCAGGTCGCTGGAGACACAGGTGTGGACAGAAAGCTGGGAAGGGATCGCATCCACAGTGAAATGGCTATGATGTGAAGCCCCCCACAAGGTGGTGCCCCATAGTTAGCTAAGTTGGTTTATAACTCCAATAACTATGGCTTATGGTAGATATATCTATAGTTAATGTGGTTTATAAATCAACTTATAACTGGGGGGCACCACCTTGCAGTTATAAATTGGTTTAGATTCGCCCCAGTAACTAGTTTGGAATTGTATTAAACCATAGTTATTGGAGTTGAAAACCAACTATTAAAATAAATACTTTACTTCGTGTGATCCCCACCATGACATTTATCGATTTGTTACTGGCAAATCTGCTGGCATTCTATCTGACATATCTTCTGGCATATCTTCTGGCATTCTATCTGACATATCTTCTGGCATTCTATCTGGCATTCTATCTGGCATATCTTCTGGCATTCTACCTGGCATATCTTCTGGCATATCTTCTGGCACATATTCTATCTGGCATATGGCTTCTGGCATTCTATCTGACATATCTTCTGGCATTCTATCTGGCATTCTATCTGGCATATCTTCTGGCATTCTACCTGGCATATCTTCTGGCATATCTTCTGGCATTCCATCTGGCATTCTATCTGGCATATCCTCTGGCATATTATCTGGCAAATCTTCTGGCATTCTATCTGGCAAACATTCTGGCACTTTATCTGGCATATCTTCTGGCAATCTATCTGACATTTTATCTGGCATTCTATCTGGCATACTTCTGGCATTCTATCTGGCATATCTTCTGGCATTCTATCTGGCATATCTTCTGGCACTCTATCTGGCATATCTTATGGCATTTTATCTGGCATATCTTATGGCATTTTATGTGACATTCTATCTGGCATATCTTCTGGCATTCTATCTAGCCGTTGAGGTCCAGCGGTGTGCACTGAGCTGGGAAGGTCCCACGTTGAGGTCCGGCAGGGAACACTTGGCGTGGATACTCGCGGTTGAGGTCCGGCAGGGAACACTGGGCGGGGATGGTCGTGGTTGAGGTCCGGCAGGGAACACTGGGCGTGGATGGTCGTGGTTGAGGTCCGGCAGGGAACACTGGGCGTGGGTGGTCGTGGTTGAGGTCCGGCAGCGAACACTGGGCGTGGATGGTTGTGGTTGAGGTCCGGCAGGGAACACTGGGCGTGGGTGGTCGTGGTTGAGGTCCGGCAGAGAACACTGTGGATCGCGGGTCGCAGTTGAGCAAGGACGACAAGGATGACAAGGAGGACGAGGAGGAGGACGAGGCAGGAGGAGGCGGAGGAGGAGGAGGAGGAGCAGGAGGAGGAGGAGGAGCAGGAGGAGCAGGAGGAGGAGGAGGCAACTGACATAAAATCTAACAACCCTCACCTGGCAGGTGGGGAATAAACCAGCTATAAATACCATAAACCGTAGTTATTGGAGTTAAAAATCAACTTAGCTATCGAGCGGGGGCCTCACATTGTATGATACATGGTGATTCATGGTGATCAGTTGTGGTTAATAATCGCTGGAATTCCAGGATCCTAAATTAGAGGTACTGTACCACATTTTTTTGCCATATTTTCTGGGGATATTCCCTTACATAGGCCTTACATAAGCCTTATTATATGGTAGGTACCTCCAATTTAGGATCCTGGAATGGTTTTTGAAATAATGGTTAATAGTGCCAAAACATGTGATTAATGATGGTTATAAGTTATAACTGGTTGTTTCTTAGGGAGTATATATTCTATTTTCATGGGGTTACTTCAGTACTTGTAACTGTTAAAGAGTCACTTCTTTCCCCCATTATGGAATGTATAATATTGTCTAATCCCATTGAAATAACTAGTTATAATTTAAACCATTCATGGCAGTTTCTCGAAAATGAAGAAACTACCCGTTGGTAATCAAACATGCCCATATTTGTACTGAAATGATTGCTCCACTCACGTTGTCAATAGCTAATGATAGTGAATTATTAGCATATGGGATTTCTCTTGCTCTCCTTTTGCCAGCCGTATGCATACTAAATTCATTCAGTGTCCTTATCGACGATTCTCACATGCACAACTATATTTGGGCCAGTATTTGAAACTGATACGAGGATGGATCAAGACAAGCTAATTTAGGGTGGACCAGGGTATCAGGGTTTAAACTCATACGCAAATGATGATTGAGCTGGAAAGCACACTGAACCAGGTTTATTTGCCTAGAAAAATCAAATCCGTGGTTTTTACTCGGGTACCCCCCCACAGCAAATCCCTCACATTCACCTGTTGGAAGTACAGAACTGAGCTCATATTATAGACAAATACAGTACACTTTGCTTTTTCTATCACATTTACCCTCTGGTAAACTAACATGACTATAGAACATCACCATTTTTAATAGGTAAACCATCTATTTCAATGGGCCATGGCTTCCATAGTTTTTTGTATGTTTACCAAAGGGTATTTTGTTGAGACTGTGACACCGTCAGAGTGAGACTCTGACACAAGAGTATAATTCAGTTCAAAAAGCACTCCCTGGCATATTACTGCCCTGCCGACAGAATGATTCAAGTGTCAATCTTATTGGTGCTTAGTAGGGGATGGATGGGAATGGGGGATTATTCCCGAAAATTATTACTAGTGATTATGGATCATTCCTGAAAATTCCCTGCAAAGCACCAGTAAGCAATGGAAGACATGGAAAGACACAGCAACCGATACTAAACCCTCAACTGAACGCCTCAGTAAAGGAACATCTCAGCGGAACCGAGCTCTAAGAAGCAGTCCTGAACGCGAAGCAACTAAGGATTCATAGGGCTACGAGACTCACCAAATCAGAAAAACGAAAAAAACGATAAATGGAATGAACATGCAATGATTTATCTGGCGTTTACCCATTGGAAATCAAAGATGGCAATGGAAAGTAACCCAATCATGGAGGATGTAATGGGAAAATAGTCTATCAATGGTGGATTTGTGATTTATTTTCTGATGATAGACTATTTTCCCATTAATCATAGCTTCAAAAATCCATCATTGATAGATTCAAAAATCCACCAGCTGCTCCATCCAATCGTTTCCTGAATCTTCTCCTTACGTTGAAACGTTTGGTGATCCACCCAAGAGTTGGCTTCTTAAACCCTATGCTGAAAAGTGTTAAACTGGATGGTACAGTTATGGTCATTGATTAGTCATGGTGATTCATGGTGATTATTAGTAGTTAATAGTGGTTAATAATAGTGGTTGATAGTGGCTAATAGTGCTAACAGTGGTTAATTGTGGCTAATAGTGATTGATGATGGTTATCACTGATTATGTCCATGGGATTTTACATTCCATTTTTTTGGGGTTCAGAAGTACTTACAACTGGGTATTTTGGGCCATACTGCAACTCTATGGATGATATTTACCTCATGTTTCCAGTTTTCCGACTTTTTGACATTGGTGTTTTGCAGTTATGGCCCGAAATACCAGTTATAAGTACTGAAATAACATCTTATAACCCCATTCATGGAATGTATAATCCATAACTCATTATGACACTTTTAATTGGTTTCTACGGACATAACCGTGGGGTTGCTATTTTTATGTGGATCGCAGCAGTCGTCGCTTAGGCGCGGCAGCGTCGTGTGCACGTGATGAACAGCGAATTGGCGCGCTACATCCGGTAGCTGGGCGGGTCAGGTGGTTGTTCATGAGTGGGATCTAAAGGAGATAGCCAAGTTGATTTATAAGTTTTAAGTGATCTACAATGTGAGGCCCCCGTTGGATAGCTAAGTTGGTGCAAATAAGTCCAATAACTATGGTTTATGGTATTTATAACTATAGTTACTAGGGCTTATAAACCAATTTATAACTGGGGGGCCTCACATTGTATATGGGGGATACAACGATATAGTTCATGGGATTACCAAGCAACTTAGGTATTGGATGAGTTTTTACCAAGACCCCTATCGCTTACTTTGAGCATTTATACTACTTCCTGCAACCCCCGAAGCACATACAATTCTATTTCAGTCCCTGATGGAAATATCGACCTTTCAAATCTGGGTCTAAATCTGATACTAAGGTCGTTTTTTTTGTGTGATTTCATTTTATGGCATGCTACCTACAGCCTGCCTTCTGCATCAAAAACATCGGTGAATCATTCACGTTATTGCTCGAAACTTCCTCAACAATGTAAACTTCCTCAAGACTTCATGGCCAAGGTTTTCTAATTATGATAAGGCAAAGATCGCAAACTTCATGGCCAGGATCACCCCATCTATGAATGTCAAACACCTCATGGGAATTACCGGAATTCAAGCCATGAAGGATCTGAAGCCAGGAATGAGAAACCTAATGAGCAGAATAGGGATCATAACACAGTGTGAGTCTTGTTGAAAATATTCGACAATTCCAACTGCGGATCAGGGATCCATTGATCCAAAACCTTCATGGATGGGGAGTAGCCAAACTTTCCTTCATCCAACTGTGGCTCAGGGATGAAGAAACTATATTTTTAGAAACTTCATCAATGGGGATTCTAATTCACTTCGCAGTTTTCCAAGTTTCCTTAGCCAAAAAATAAGGTCTGCATGTTGGGACCGCCTGCCGCATTGTTCAGGTTGGAGACACTTAATGGATCTATTTTGGAGACACTTCATGGAACTACTATGCAGAATAAAACTTAGTCCATCACGAAGTTTTCTGGAAACCAATCATGCAGTTATGGCCCGAAATACCATTTATAAGTACTTTTAACATCTTATAACTCCATTTATGGTTTATGTACAATCCCACTCATAATCATGTATAACCCTTTGTAATTGGTTTCTACTTTCTACGGCCATCACTGTGGGATTATTTGAAGAAACTTCATGTCTTGAATCTTCCTTCTCCTGACTGAGTGGTCTCCTGTGAGGAGAATCATGGCCATGATTGATCCACCAGAGCCACGTATGGATGAGACACAGAAACCTCAGAAGTGCAAGGGTTTAAAATTGAGATTCTAGGGTCATGTAGGACCCTGAGACCTCCTGATTTCAATTGCTCCGGGATGCTCCTGGGAGGGAGATCCAGGGTTGGTTGATGTCGGATGATCATTACATGGTGGCTCATCCCACTTAGTAAGTGGGTTGTATCCTAGTTTTTTTCAGTTGATTTACCCTATTTATCCCACTGAAATAACTGGAATATAAGCCGCAAAAACCATTCGTGGCTAGCTTTCCATGTGACCTCCATGAGGCGTGATCAGATGTCGGTACGGATGGCTCAGCTGCGTACTGGGTCGAAGGGGTGGTAGGAGGAGCTGGAGTCCATGTTTACGATGGAGATATTTTACATTATTATAACGTTTGGGACTCCCACCTATGGATCTTCGTCCTGTGATTGCTTGTTCTAGCTAGAGGGTGAAGAAAAAGTATGGAAAAAACACTTCCTGTAAACGTTTACAGTTCTTGGCCCTTTATTAGCTATAACTGGTTATTTCTATGGGATTAGACATTCCATAATTGGGATTAGTTCAGTACTTACAACTGGTATTTCGGGCCATAGTAGAATATATTACCCATTAATATTCCCATTAATTCCCAATAATATTCCCATTAAATCACCAGTTAAAATTCCATAACTGTAGATGAATTTAGATGTGGAGAAGCCACCGTTTGATGATTTTCCGTTTCGGGCTTTCCCCGTGGGTCGAAGCCATGAAGCTTTGGCACCATCGAAGGGCCGATGACTGCATGACTGGAGGCCCATGATGAAACTACTAATTAACCATATCATTCACATTCACAGAGTATCATCCCAGTATAATATATATATATATATATTATATTATATATATATTATATTATATACATGTATTGTATATTGTGTATATGTATATATATGTAGATAGCTGATGGCTGACGTCATATTGGCCATATAAAACCACGTTACCATATGTTGTCATATGTTGATTACATCTGGCAACTAGACTATAGACGTTATCGGTTATTACTTTCAATGTGCTGCCCCGCAGTTGGCATTTATCAGCTGGAATAAGGGTAAGTATATGCAAGTATACATATATCTGCCCTAAACCATCCGAAACCCTATAGTTAACCTAGATATAAATTTAACTTAGCAAAGCATGGGGCACCTAGTACTATCCAGTCAAGGTAAACTATCAACATAGACCTCCTAAGGGCTGGGGCTGGGAAAAAGACACGATGCGATGAATCGGTATAACGAAATCCATTCAATCCCATTATATCTCCACTAAATCACCATTAAACCCCAATAGATCCCATCAAATGACCATAAAATCCCAATATATCCCCATGAAATTCTATTGAATCCCCAATAACCCCTAAATATTTACTTTCAATATGGAAAATTTATGGTGGCATCAAGCCTTAAAGGGTCACCTGACTTGGGTAGTTGGGGGTATCCCGTTGTTGCGTTTTAGACCGATTCTATCAAGGAATCCAAAAATGTTCAATCCCAGTAACCCCCCTTTTTTTACATCATATCAATGATATCCCCACCCCAGAATCCCCTAAATCTCAGCCAAAGCCAGTTGAGGTCGCTGTAAACTTTCCACACGCCCTGGCTGGCGCAGTAAGACCATGCAGCCGGTGAGTGCCTAACTCGTGCAGATGGTTAGATCACGGCTGAAATTATGGTATCATTGGATATCATACACTTATGGCCGTAGAAAGCAATTCGAAATGGTGAAATCCCTGGTCTTAGGATTATTTTTTTTGGGGGGGATTAGACATAAAGCATTTTTATAGCTGTTATTTCAGTAAGGGCCATAACTGTAAATATTAATCACTATAGCCACCTTTGGGACAATCTATGAGAATCTATGTTTAGTGTGCTTTTAATGGATTTAAAATCTGCAGACTTACCAGTTACCATGAACAATATGGGATAATAGTGGCTATGAGTGATAAATAGTGATAACTGATGGTTGGTTGATGACACTGTAGTTTGTCATTTTATAGGGTATTTCACCCTCAACATATGCAACATATGGAGACAAAAGTGGATATAACTGATGAATGATGGTTGATGGATGATAAATGGCATTTACATCGGATTTAACTATCGAACACAGTGGGATATAGTTGAGATAGTCGATGCATATATATATATATATAATGAATGATGATTTATTATTGATATAATTAGGGGATTATATTATGCACATATTGGGGATTAGGGGGCCCCAAGATCACTTGGTGAAGATTCCTAGAACTCTGGTTTATGGCAAATGCATCGGACATTGTAAACTCATGGGTGTCAAACTTGAAAAATGATAAACATGGTGATTTGCCAAACCTACCCCAAACATGTTTAATTTGAGGGGATTTTCCTGAGGGTAACCAACAAACATCATACCATTGCCATCCGAAGAGCCAGCTGGTGTCCAATCCTGCCATGTAGATCGAGCACAGCCAAGCACAACTGGATGATTCTCGAGTTATGGCCATGGCTACTAGTTACAGTTCCTGTAATGGCCGTTCACTAATTGTAAATGGCTAACTGGTTATAAATAGGATTATGCAGTCCATAAATGGGGTGACTTAGTACTTCTAACTGGTATTTCGGGCCATAACTGTAGAGTGGTGAAAAAAGGCAGAATTTCAGAAAGTTGCCCACAATCCATGATATGTGCATATTATTTGCATTTCGTCCAATCATTTTTGAAAGTTACAAATCGGGGGTTCTTCCAAGTACCTCCAAATCATCCATATATATATACACGTACAAAACAAAATTTCTGGACCATTTTTGGAAATCACGTTTGTGAGGGATCCCGCCGTCTTGAGACAAGTTGGCCAAATTGTTTTACAGAATAGTAAGTGGTCGAGAGATCCATGAGATATAAATATGTATCCCTTGGCAATTCAACATAGCTATCCAAAGTCACTAAGTTTAGTATTGTAGGTATATGGGTCATGTTTCCATAGCAAACTATTAAATTCCCGGAGGGTAATATTTGTATTTGTTCAACTGGTTCACAACCCACTTGCTAGCCAGTCATTATAAGTTTACATCATCCTACATCATCCACATAGAGTAGTGCAAGGTGGGGCCCCCAAGCTATGTTTGTTGGTTTTTAGACCATGAATTCTATAGTCATATGAGTATGACTCCATAAACCCTGGAATTCACCAAACTATGTCAGCTATGCCATGCTATGTTTACCAACTTTGCGTTCTCGGAAACGGGGGCCCCACCTATACAGGTAGGAATTCCCATCGCGGCCCGGAGCATTTTTCCCGTCGCGGCGTGTGGCGTTTTTCTGTGCTCTGGGGTCCGCGGTGGTGAGCGGCAGGGCGGAGTTTTTTTTTTCCAGGTTTGTGCTGCAGCTGGTACAGGATGGTGCCCCCTAGATAGCTAAGTTGGTGAACATAACTTCAATAACTCGGGCTTATGATACTTACAACTTATAACTATAGTTCATGGGGTTTATAGACCAACTTATAATATTGGGGGCCCCACATTGTAGCATCAATTTGCTGACTGGTTGGTGGTTGTTATAACCCATAGGCATACCGAGATACCTATTTACCAAACTGTACCATCACCTCCATGTGACGTTGCTGAAATGATGGTTAGTAAGGGGAATCCCGACATGGTATTATTTCAGGTCAGTGAATGATTTTACCGATGTTCAATGCTTGTTGGCAGTTTCAAGCAGTTTTGCGATATGAATCCCTGTACTTTGTTGGTACAACGCCACATTTGTGGGTTGAAATCGTCAATCATTGTTCGCAAAATCATCAAGTTTTTATAGACGCATAGGTAAGGAAAATTGGTGAAAGTAGATATGAATGACAACAGTAGCTATAACAATTATGATAACTAAACTACTATAGTAACTATAGTGACTATAGTGACTATAGTAACTATAGTAACTATAGTGACAATAGCTATAGTAACTGCTTAGTAACTCATCACTCTTAGTCATTCTTGCCATGCCTTCGCCGTTGCATTTCGTACAGTTTCTTTTCTTCTGCCCAATGGGCCCGATGGTCCATCGCTAGCTCAATGCTCAAGGCATCTGCGGCGCCAATCTTTGGAGATGGAAAAAAAACAATACAATGTGGGGCCCCCCCCCCAGTTATAAGTTGGTTTATAAGCCCCAGTAACTATACTTATAATACCACAAACCATAGTTATTGGAGTTATAAACCAAGTTAGCTATCTAGGGGGCCTCACATTGTAGAATCCAATGCTTACTTACCCTGGGGTAAACCTTTTTTTTAAAACAGTTTTGTCAACTTTTTTCCTGTGGAAAAGCTGCCTGGTTTTCTTTGAACGATCTACAAATCATGGATGGTCCTTTTTCCGCAAGGGTTGGAGGATCATCTCACATGCAGTGAGGCTTCTGCCTCGATTCGTGCCATGGTAAACTGAGAATGATCAACTGACGGTCAGGAACCAACATATATAGTTCAGTGGGAATTTCGGGTACCTAAAATGGGTGGAGATACTGTACCATATAAAATATCATAAAACCATATAATGTAACCTTATATTTTCGGAAGAAATCCCTTCCATAGGCATTACTAATAGGCCTTATACATGGTAGGGACCTGCGATTTGGGCACATAGGTTCTGGGGGGATCCGTCCCTAGCGGACGGAGGGGCCACAGGATGCGGAGAGCGAGGCGGAGGTGATGAACTACTGGTTGAGCGAATGCAACCGCTAGGATGCTTAAATAACTGGTGAATGTTAGGTTTATAGGATGACACACTAGTATTCATAGGATTTATAAATCAACTTATTGCTTTTTGGGCCTCACATTGTTGCCAGTATCTATGGTATATATTTGGATAAACCCTGGGAAAGGGTGGCTATACTTATGACAGCCTCGAAGCCATCTTTGGAATTGTGGTTTGAAGGGAGAAGGGAAATTTACACCATCTTGACAATTGCTATGGTTTGCCCAGAGCATTGAAATGTACCAACACCATCGCATGTATTGATGGTAACAACCACATCAGTGTTTCACTATTGAAATGTGTCCAACGTTAGTTGCCACGCATGGCAAACGTATTTTTATGCCTAATTTTGATGTTTTGCTGTGTGTACCTTAAATCATCTTTAAACAATCGTTCTTTATTGAACTGCAATCTGATCTGTGGTTCCAAAATTTAAAGCAAGAAATCATCATGGGAATGGCACATAATATTGATTTCCCCGAAAGGTAATTTGAATGGGACTATTTTTCTTACGATTCACAACATCGACCAGCTAAAGCCATCACTGGTTTCATCTCCATATCCATTGGTTGATATCACTAGACTAATACTCCATACAACTATGCGATTATATATCTATCTATATGTAAAAGTACCTAAAATCGAACATGTGTTTTCTTTCATATATATATCATATACCATCATTCAATAATATACCTATATGCTTATTTCCATATGATGTCATGTTTAACTTGGAAACATATTTACCCATCTACCTATGCACAAATATATTACATATGCGAGGTTGGCCCCAAGATTTCTAAGTTGGTTTTTAAACCCTATTAAGTATAGGTATAGATGTTCTATAAACAGCTATAAACCCTATAGTTAACCAAGGTACCACCCAACTTAGCTAAAGTTTGATGGCCCACAGTTTTGGCCCTTTACCAGTTAGTGCTTATTACCCCATTTATGGAATGTAAAATCCCTTTTATAACCAGTTATTTCACCATCATCAATCACTATTAGCCACTAATAACCATTAATAATCATTATATAACCACAATTAAAATCACCATTAATCACCATCAATCACTATAGAAATCACCATTTATAATTGTTAAACGGCCACAACCGCACACCGTTGAGTTTTCATGTCGCAACTCGCATGAAACGCAGCCATTCGAAGTGACACCGTCCGGTGAACTGCACTGCGGTCATGGCATGACGAGTGGCGAGCCACTGGTGGCTTGGGCGGCAGTCGTTCTGGGGGGATAAAACCATCTTACAAGGTATTTGACCAACAAAAATGGTGATTTAATCGACTTTAATGGGATTTAAATGAATTTTATCACCAAACAATACTGATATATATGATATGCTTAGTATATGTGTACTGGTATTTAACGGTATTTACCAAGATATATGTGTATATATATATATATATAGATCACAAAAACCACGGCAACCGTGGCAGCCTGGTACCAAGATGCTGCAGCTTCTTGGTTCAAAATGGTGCGGAACCATTGTGGGAGCTGCATGGGAAAGGGTAGGAAGAAAAACTTCCTAGAATACCATGGGTGGAGGAATAGCCCCAATGGGTTGGTGCGAGGGCAATGCGATTGCTGCCAGATGCCATGGCCACCTTGCCCTGTGTGCTTTGTTGAAGAGAAGACGCGGCAGCAGGTGTGCTGCCGAATGACGCTGATGCCACAAGAGTCAGTGTCATGCTGTGCGGTAGCAGCTTTGACCAACTTCTTGGAGGAGACAGAGGGCATCCCACGACTAAATTCAACATCCCACGACTGAGTCAGACATCCCATGACGACTAATTGCTAGGTTTTGGAGCGTCAGTGGCCTGGATTCTTCAAAAAGGCTTCCCTTTTTGGACCGTCAGCGGCCCGGATCCTTCAAAAAGGCTTCCGGCAGTCTCTAACTGGACCGGGATCTCCTTTACAGGCCGAGAATCTCCTTTTTGGACCGTCAGAATCTCCTTTTTGGACCGTCAGCGGCCCGGATCCTTCAAGGCTTCCGGCAGCCTCTAACTGGGCCGGGTTCTCCTTTTCAGGCCGAGAATCTCCTTTTTGGACGTTGCGGGCTGCCGGGCGCCTTTTTAAGGATTCAGGCCTTTGAGGGGCCAAAAAGGAGTTAGTCGTGGTATAATGGTTTTTTGGTCGTGGGCTGTGATGTGTGTTTTTTTTCGTCGTCTTTATTTTTTTGGTTCGTCGTCTCCGCATCCCGTTCTGGTCGTCGGATCCCCGGCGTCTCTTCTTGGAGCTCAGAGCATGGCCAAGCAGAACTATAGAGACAGATGAGACAGCCAAAATGATAATTTAATGGACGTTAATGGGAAATTAGATTCTAGAGCTAAGTTTGTTTTTTTACTTGCAACAAAACGGGGTTGTGGGATATAACATGATCGAACTATAGTCTTCATGGGGTCGCAACAGAAATCCTCGAAGGTCACCTTGTACTGCCTTGTACCGACACGTTTTTTTTTCAGCTGCAGATTTCGGCCCGAGTCATACCAGATATATGTCACTGCAATAACCCCATAAAAATGGTTTATGTCCCATAGAAATAGCCAATTATAAAATGTTATAACTAATCAATGGCCATAACTGTGGTGCATGTTCTGGGAATCTGCGTAAGTCAACTTTAGGTTGCTTGGATAGCTGGGATTTGGCCTTTTAACATAGAGATTCAGCCAGCCCCCACCTCATGTCGGAGACCCCCATAATAGACTGGTTGGTGGTTTGGAACATGTTTTATTTTTCCATTCAGTTGGGAATGTCATAATCCCAACTGACTTTCATATATTTTTCATAGGGGTAGGTATACCACCAACCAGTTGATCATACTAGTTGGGGAAGATTTGTACAATGTGAGGCCCCCCAGTTATAAGTTGGTTCATAAGCCCCAGTAACTATAGTTATAAATACCACAAACCATAGTTATTGGAGTTATAAACCAAGTTAGCTATCTAGGGGGCCTCACATTGTAACTTTCTTTACCTTGCTGTTGATGGTTTAGATTCGCCCCAAAACACAAGCCCGAATATTACTGAGGGAGACAATTCACCGAGCGTTGAATCACAAGTGACGGAATTCTGGAATGATGGTGAATGTCAAGGGAATCATCCCCAAATATGGCCCTATGATACCAGTTATTCACAGATTAATTAATGAACTATTATGAATTACTATTGATATTTAATTCAGCCAGAATATATTAATTGTAACCACCTCAACAAAATCAAAACATTGAAGTGGCTATCCAAGGTTTCCCCATTGAGCTCTATATATGGTTTTTACATGTCTTAAACCATTTGAGATATGTGTAAAATCCCTGGCAGCTAAAGATGTGTGGCTTATAGTAATTGCTATCATCCGTGAGCTGGTGATCCTGTTCTTGACCAACCAGCGTTTGCTGGAACAGTAAATGGCTTGTGAATACTGCTTAAACAGTTTTGGACGTTTACCAATTATAAATGGTGAAATAACTTGCTATAAATGGGGTTATACACCCTATAAATGGTGTTATAAACACTTGTAACTGATAAAGGGCCATAACTGAATGGAGTAATTCGGAGGAATGGTGGATTTATGAGCAAGAAACGGTGATGGTCACAGTTCTCCCCTAGAATAATCTGTGCATCTTTGTTTGATAGGTATGTGGCATACAACTTCGAGATGGGAATGTAATCGATGTCATTAATCATCGCCAAGCTAAATTTGTATGGCTAAACTCCTAGACCCTCAATCAATACCCATGAGTTTTTATCAATCGCAAAAAAACATACAAAACATGATATCTAAATTGATGTGGGCAACCCAATGCCTTCTTTACCTACCATGAACTGGGAATGCTACGAGTCATGTATGGTGATGACTTGGGGATTGGGTGCCTTGGCCTTGCCCACAGGTTGAAGACCACCATGCCGGGGGGCGACAGAGCCGCTTGGTATTCTCTGAGTGTGGGCTTCAACATGATCACAGTATGTTTTAAAGAACACAAAAAAATGGGGTGGTGTTTTCTTTTTCTCTCAGATTTGTTTGTTTTTTTCATTGGGACAGTACCAAGCAATTTCTGGTTGTTTCAAACATGTACTTCTCCCTTTGCCCGATGAAAAAATAGCAGTTTTTGTTGGCACCACCCCGATTCACCACGGTAAAAAGTAAGGGATGAAATCACCATGGTTTGGTACAATGTGACGCCCCCGTTGGATATCTAAGTTGGTGAACATAACTTCAATTTCACTAGGGTTTATGGTATTTATAACGCACTAGTTAATGGGGTTTATAAACCAACTTATAACTGGGGGGCTCCACATTGTAGAATCGGGGCTTAACTAATATTGGGATGCAATTGCACTCTGGTGCTTTCCCTACTGGAATATTATTCCAAGCATGAAAATCATGCAGGATGTGTTCCATGCAGCACTCAGAGTTGTTAAAAAAAAAACCGCCAGATTCCGGCATGGATTCTGCATCCATCCGATCAAATCGCTGAAAGTCATGGGTCTGATTCAGGAGAGAAAATAGTGATTTTTTGACTGCCACAACACTGCAGTTTCACAGTGAAAATGATGAAAAATGAACACACAATAAAGCCCAGTAATTATAGTTATAAACCCCAGTAACCTCCGGTAAACCAGTTCCTTTTCCATTAACCTCCGGTAATCAGGCCCATGGCTATGGCTTGAAAACACCACGTACCGAATTGTTCTATGATGTTCCCATTCAGCTTGAGGACACATGCAAGCTGGGGGTGGGGCCTCAAAACGATAGTTAAGTTGATTTATACTCCCAAGAACCATGGTTTATAGTAGATACGTCTATAAGTCATCGAGATTATAGCCTATAACCTGGGAGGGCCATTTTGTAGTAACCATCCAGTGAAGTTGAATATGGAATATCCCCTATTGTATACATGCTACATATATGTTAAACTTATCATGCAATGTGCGGACCAGTTATAAGTTTGTTTATAAACCATTGAACTACAGGAACTTTTTCGTAATTCCCTGGAACTAAGGTTAACTACAGCAGTAACTATAGTTGTTACATGTTGTTACGTCAACTTGGTTAAATCCCCCTTAGTTAACCCTAGGCAATACCAAGTGAACTTAGCACGTCAACATTTCGCGGCCCAGCTGGCGGTGGTTCGCGTCACTAGCGATGCCGTTTCAGCTGAAGAGTCCCTCGACGGCGAACCCTTGGGATGACCCTGGTGGAATGAGGAGAACGTGAGATCTACAATGTGGGCCCCCCCCAGTGATGTTTGTTGATTTATACACCCCAGTAACTATAGTTATAAAAAACATAAACCATAGTTATTGGAATTATAAATTTGATACTTAATGGTACCCTCCTTTTGTTTTGCACAGCCCCTTGGGGCTTTAATTCATCCAGGGTTGACATTACTTGGATAATTGTCATACAGCTATGGCCGTTTACCAATTACAACATATTATAACTGGTTATTTCTATGGAGTTATACATAAACCATGAATATTCCCATTAATTCCCATGAATATTCCCATTACTTGGATACTTGTCATAGGAAAAAAACACGGGTTTTCTCCGCAAAATTCCACGATCCGTTGTTTGGACAATCCAACGGAGCTGGAAAACTCAGACACAAACATCATCCAGTTGTGTAGGGAGCACAAAAAACAGGGTTGGTACAGAAAAATGGCCTGGAGTCATACCAGAAAAATGTTTGTACTGAACTAATCCCATAAAAATGCAATGTATAACTCCATAGAAATAGCAAGTTAGAACTAATAAATGGCCATAACTGTAAGTGATATGAACAATATATAATAATATATATATATATTTATATATATATGATATAGCTGACCAATAGTCAAGAATCCTTGGAATATGATTTAGGTTGGTGGGTTAACACGGGGTACTGCTAAATCTTTGTTTATCATCATTGTCTCATTAAGTAACCATTTTTGTGGGCTATATCGCATACAAAGCCATTTGTATGATTAACGAGTATTCACCAAGATCAGCCATGATTAACCAGTATTAACCATTGTTATTACAATGTGGGGCCCCGCAGTTCTAAGTTGGTTTATAAACCACATTAACTTTAAGTATCATAAAGCCTAGTTATGAAAGTTATAAACCAAATCAGCTATAGGGGGCCCCTCATTGTAACCTTTATTATTTACCTTTATTTTTAACCAGACACCTGCTGTGTCCATCCAATGAATCGGGAAAATTGTCGAAGAGGACATGGAAAAGCTCCCTTCTTCCAATGGGGCCCAAGGAGATTTGCTCTGTCAAAAGGGAGCGAGAGAATCAACGATTTCTATAATACAGTTATAACTGGTGCATTTCTATGGTGAGTTCTATGATTAATGATGGTTAATAGTGGCAAAAAATGTGATTAACCATCAATAACTGGTGTATTTCTATGGTTATGGCCCAAAATACCAGTTATGTTGATACTAAGTCACCCCATAAAAATGGTGTATGTATACTGCCATAGAAATAACCAGTTATAACTGATACATGGCCATAAGTGTATGGTCCAAAGACGGGTAAATACCCTACAATGCGAGGCCCCCCAGTTATAAATTTGTTCATAAGCCCCAGTAATTAGTTCGTTATAAATACCATAAACCATAGTTATTGGACGTATAAACCAACTTAGCTATCTTGGGGGCCTCACATTGTATGAAACCATGGTTTCTTTGGGGTGTTTAATGCGAACGGAGGAAAGGGATTTTTTTTTGCAACCCCTGAGAAGATAGAAATGCCGTACAGATATTTTGCCTACCTCTACTTTATGAGAGGTGCTGATAATGTTTCGTTTTTAGGCCATCGAGTTTTTCAACATGGTCCAATAACAGTTTATGCTTGTACGGAAATGGGTACGGCAAAATTATCCAAAGAGTATATATATATATCATCTTAAGATTATGATCATAAGTGATTATTAACATTTGTTCATTAACATTGCCATTATTGCAATTAAGTATCAATGAGAATGGGGGATACTTGCCATGGTTCGGATGGACACAACCAATGCTCACCGTTTGGATGTGGGACCGATGATGACCCATAGAAAACTGAAGCTCTTCACTGGGTAGAATTCATGTTCTAGCTGGGAAGTACATACATGTGGTCCAAGTGTCCAGCTCGCTTCCCAAGTTGTAGCAGGTCATGTTACAGGGATATGACCTACGGGATGAATCCCTACCATCCAAAAACCTCGACCTTCCAAACATCTTTGAAAGTGGAGTAACCGTTCAAACACCTTCAGTTGTGGCCATAGCTATTAGTTATAACTGGTTATTTCTTTCCTTGGATTAAACAAATATCATATAAACCATGTTTATTGGGTTATTTCAACAAACATCACTGGTATTTTGGGCCGAAACAAATCTGATATTTCAGCCATCGATCCCAGGATCCCTTTTGACAAAAATGTGAAATCTTAATCAAGGTGCCGGTGAAACCGTTGTTGCTAAAGTTTTGTTTATGTGGTGTATATATATATATATATATATGCATCTGATATTTATATATATACATATTAATATATGTATATATATTTATGTATATATATATATATGCATATTTATGTATACATATTTATGTATACATAGTTATGTATACATATTTGTATATATATATATATACATATATATATAAACATATTTACATATATATATATATATTAATATATGCATATACATATATATAGGCATATATATATATATGTACGTGTATATATATATATATATATGTTATACATTTATATTTATATATATATATATATATATATCAAATATATATATATATATGATGTATATTTATATATACATGTATATATACATTTATATTTATATATATATATATTTAGACATATATATATATATATACATCATATATTTATGATATATCTATATTTTTATATACACTGTATATGATATATGATATATATATATATATGTTCTCTTTATGATATGATTGATTTGTTATTACCATAAACAAAAGAACATAATTCCATGTCAGACCCTGACGTCTTCCTTTGGCACGGCTCCTTTTCTCGGCCGTACCTGAGGCCCGATATTCGTGTCAGTGCGGGCGCGGTCAGTGCGGGCGCGGTCAGTGCGGGCGCGGACGGCGACCGCCAAGATCGCGAGACGGCCTTGACGGAAGCTTGGTGGCACTTGGTGGCTGCATTTTTTTGTGTGGGGAGGTGATCAAGTTATAAAGAAACACAGAAAGGTGTGGCTGAAAAATGGGGTATCAAAAAAAAACAACATAAGACCGGGGACAATCTTGATGAAGCATCAAATTTTGGGGTACCCTATTTTCAGACAAAACCAAATAAAGGATTACTGTTTTTCGGTTTCAATGCAGATATATGAATGAAGAGTTAAGTTGGTATACAAGGTGAGGTTTGTTTTTAACCCCCCCAATAACTATAGTTATGTCCTACACAGTTATGGCCATGGCTATTAGTTATCACTGGTTATTGCAATGGGATTATACATAAACCATTTTTATGGGGTGACTTGGTACAAACATAACTGGTATGTAAAGGGCCATAACTGTATAGTTGTATCCTCCATAAAGCCTAGTGAAATTGGAGTTGTGTGCTCCCCAACTTACCTATCGTTTGCTGGCCCCGGCCGAGAAAAAAATAAAACTTGTTTTTTTTTAGGATTTCATGGGGAAAGTTATCGCCAAAAATATTGATTGAACATGGGGCTAATAACGAAGAAAAAATATATACAGGGGATCCAGCTGTAATGGCTTTGAATGGGGAAATATCATTGGATCTGATGGGGATCTCATTGGGATTTCATGAGATATAACTGATATCACTGGTGCAAAAGCAAACATAGAAGGGATGCAACGGGATATGATCAGGAGATTACTCTTAAAGCCCAACCCGCCTACAGTATTACGGCCGACATGTTCAAATTAGTGAATTAGGATATGTTTTTCCAATATGAAACAACAGAAAACAGGGTTGGTACAGTTATGGCCATTTACCAGTTATAACTGAACTTACCCCAGTTATGTATAATCCCATTGAAATAACAAGTTATAACTAATAGTCATGGCCATCACTGTGTGACTCCATTTCCATAATGGGTGCATCTAAATCCCAACATGGATCGTTTTTTTTCCCATCCCCCAGTAATAGTTGGTTTATAAACCACCCAAACCAGTTCGACAAACTAGTGATAGAAAAAAAACACCCAGCTTCCTCCCATCGTAGGAGTTTTGGGGCCCTAAAAGGATGGAGAACTTGATAACAAACGCCTGGGATCAGATCTGATCTGATGTAAAACCATGGACCGGTTATGGTCCAAGTCATAGCCGTTATGTTTGTACTTAAAAAGCCATAGCCCCATAAAAATGGTTGGAATGTATCATCCCATCTAGTCACAACCAGTTATATATATATAACAGCGACCTCACTGGAATCCTGGTTGATAAGGGGAATCATCCCCAAATGGCCTTAATTCAGGTTAGTGAAATATTATAATTTACCCATATATATATATAACCATTCATTTAATTGGTATTTCTGGCCATAACTGCATTTATTTTTCTGGATTTTTTTTCACGACCGAACCCTGTTCTCACGAACCCTGGAATCATGGTTTATTTTAGGGGAATCATCCCCATTTATAGCCGCAATTTAACCAGGTGAGTGAAATATGTCATAACAAATCCCCAGATCTATGTATAACAACGATAATTTACCCAGATCTATGTTTTTTTATAACCCAAGTATCGGAGTTAGATACAAACTTCGTGAACGAACTTGGCTTCTGGTTCCAACGGGGGAAATAACAACGGATCTCACCGGATCTCACCGGATTTGGGCGAATGGCAATACTTAACCCAGGATTAATAAGAAGACCACCAGTTTACTTGAGTGGGAGTTTCAACGATATATATATATATAATTGGATATCGATGTCTGATACAGTCACGGTGTGTGCGTTCGAAGATGTGGTACAACCACGAACTACAGCTATTTAATAGGGATTATAAAGGATAAACACACATAAACAAACTACTGCAGTTCGCTTCCCTATTTTCAGGCAAAGCTTTTTTATGGATACAGAGACCTCCATACAATTCCGATGCACATTCGGGGCAAAGTACAAGAAACATGTAGACACACAGATAGAACAAACATGGGTGGGATGGCTACAAACATTGGTAGACTTTATATATATATATATATATGCATAATTATATATGTTCAGAACTTGTTGATATGTGTTGACCGTTTGTATGTTGTTGGTATTTTGTTTCGGGATAAATGGAGGACCGGAAATCGCTATATCTAACATCTGGATGTTTTTGATCATAATCTCACGTCGTGACGTGACTGGAATGATGATTGCTCAGGGGAACTATGGATTCCTACATGGCCATATGAGAACAGCAATTGTCAGGCTAGTGAATTATAAAAAATCAGCCAGATATAATTCACAAATTTACAATTATATATATATATATGTGTGTGTACGTAGATATTTGCACATGTATGAAACAAGTGCTTTGTTAGTAGGGCTATAGTCCAGTTCAAAGCGGGAGAAATTTGCATCAAGAAAAGGGGATGGGGCATGCATTGGTACAGTATACAACTGGATTTTGCTTTGAGCTAAAGAGTTGCCCTGTCACAGTTTAACATACCTGACATAGCCATACATAGCCATGGAAAATCACCATGAATTCCATAAGTTTAGTGGGAAAACCATCGAATTCAATGGGCAATGTTCATCTATTTTCCGTAGCTCTATAAGAAATTATCGTAGGTCTTCCTAACTACCCACCAAGTCCCTGTACCTTAGATGATGACCCGGACAGCATCAAGCCACCCAGTCTAGCATCCCACCATCGCGCTGGTTCCGTCATGGTTCCGAGTAGATTCGTATGACGTCATCATCTGAAAAAATCTATGGGAAAATGATGGATTATTATTTCCAAGAAAAAGAGGCGATGGGACTGTTTTTTTTTTACACTGAAGCTTCCATTTGACATGATGATTCTCTGTTTTAATGTGTTTTCCGTGGTGTTTTTCTCCCACGTGGACAATCGTGGACAATATTTGTTTCGGTGTTTATTCTGTTAGGAATCAACTCTGATCATCCGCCAGTTCGCCGCCAATCAAACGTGGCAATTGAAAATCCCCTATATTCCATTGCCATGTTTGATGGTCGCATATCATTATATATATACCACTATGCTTGGCAATATCCCATGCTATCCCCATAAAATCCCTTAAGAATCCCAGTTTTCATTACTGGAGAGTACCCTATTTCCCTAAAGCAATGGAAAGTCAATGCAGATACCTCAATTACCCTCTGGTAAACTAACATAGCTATTGAACATTGTCATTTATAGTTGATTTACCCATCAAAAATGGTGGTTTTCCATAGTTATGTAAACGTTTACCAGAGGGTACTTCTCGCAACAGCTCCGAGGGAACTTCGATGGATGCTTGGCCAAATGTGTATACCTGGTACTCAGTCAACCGACTGGTTAGATTCCTTAGTACCTTAATCTTTTGCTACGATGTGGGGCCCCCTAGATAGCTAAGTTGGTTTATAACTTCAATAACTATGGTTTGTGGTATTTAAAACTATAGTTACTGGGGCTTATAAACCAACTTATAACTGGGGGGCCTCACATTGTAGCAATGGTAAAATGTACATCCACCAGCTAAAAAAAAGATTTGAAGAGAGGTATCTAAGATTCACCAGGGTATACCCTTGACTGCTTGACCGAAACAGTATTCCAATTCCAAGCAAGTTGCTATCAATGTTGCCAATCTGGAAAAATCCTTGATCTCACATAAAATGGTGGATTCATCAAGAGAAACAATGGCTTGACTAAGAAACATGGGCCTGGTTTAAGGGGATTTTTGCACAGCCAGCACATGTTTTGTGTTTCGTTTTCTGAAAACAAATATCCGTACCTCTGTATCTCCTTATAGAGAATAAATTTGGAATATAACTCCAAGTCTGGGATACATGGTTGGCCACTGGTATCCCCAAATATCCCATGGAAAGTGGCTCCCAAAATTCATTCACAGGTGATGACGATCATGATTGGCTCTCAAAAAATGTGATTTTCCATAATTAGCTACTTTCAATGACCGGAGGGTAAGTTGGCAAATACCCTTTCCAATAGACTGACTGAGAGAAGACCCGGTTTCAACTGTTTAAATGCATGTACAAGCTTTGGAATCCCGACAACCTACCGAAACAGTCCATGATTGTTGTTGATTACATCTCACAAAGACACTACGTAAATCTGCTATTTGACATTTGACATCCCTATTTGTGCTGGCGACTTTTGAAGGATGAAATTCGCAACTTATTCAGGCCTGCTATATTGCATTTTCCCAGGCACCCCAATCACCATTCACTTGGCAAAAAAATACTCCGCCCAACGACACCATGAATGATCGGGAGGAATGACCTTATTTCTGGTAGTTGGTTCATTCAATTTTAGCCAGATTGATGTAGAGAACTCTATCAGTGCCACGGATTTCTGTGGAGCCCAGTCTATACCCTTATTTTTTCATGACTGCGGGTGGTTGCTCCCGCTTACCTGTTCCGAATATAGGTCAAAAATGGTCAAAATTATCAACCCCCCCACAAATGCAGTTATGGCCCTTTACCAGTTATATGTGCTTACAATCCCATTTATAGAGTGTATAATCCCATAGAAATAACCAGTTATTTCACCATCATCAATCACTCTTAGCCACTATTAACCATTATGTAACCACGATTAAAATCACCATTAATCACCAGCAATCACCATAGAAATCACCATTTATAATTGGTAAACGGCCATAACTGTATCAACCCCACACCCAAATGGAAGGGTTCCGATCCTGAACACCACACGCTTTCGTGGGGGTCGGCCTAGGTGGGCCTGGTATCCCAATGACATGACACCCACGTGCCCTTGTAGGTGTCACATGGTTGACTAGCTACTACAAGGTGGGGCCGTCGAAGGATAGCAAAATTGGTGAACATAACTTCAATTTCACTAGGATTTATGATACTTGTAACTTATAACTATAGGTAATGGCGTTTAGAAACCAACAAACATCCACATTGTAGTATCCAGAGTCATCTTTCTCTATGGGATAATCGATGATACTACGAAAAGATACGTAGAGGTTCGGGATTTTTCTCGGCTCGGTCTCACGGTTCGCTGCGATCCTTTGAGGCCAATCTAGGCTATATTGATGACGAGGAGGATGATGAACCACTTCCTTGGTCTGGTAGCTCCTTGTGCGCCAGTGATGGCCAACACATGGCAACACCATCAATGATGGCTTTAGTAAGGGGAATCATATGGAGGTTTCCTAAGTCATAGGGGTACCCCAAATGTATGATTTATAATTGACCATCCTACTAAAATGATCTAAAATGGATGATTTGGGGCTACCCCTATTTTAGGAAACATCCATATGTGAGTGGTTGATTTTATGGAATGATTCTGATCTTAGGTAACGCATTCTTACGGGAAAAACGCATGTCAGAACAGCGATCGTTCTGAGGGGTCATGTTTGAATGAGTCCACCCATTTTTTTGGCACAAGATGGAGAAGCTGCCGCATCATGGGGGAGTAGGGAAACTGCAGCATAGAGTTGTTTGTCAATAGTAGTTGAATCTAGCACGCGCTTGCTTAGGCCAATTTCATAGGGGTGTTGTTTCAACACACTGATCAATCTTTGCGTTACTTCGCATTGCAAAAAGGGTGTCTTCCAAAAAACAAAGTTCCACCAGCAGGGTTTCTTGTCTGAGGTCATCATCAATGGGTATTCCAATCGGCCCATCGTTCTCACGAAGTGTTTGTGTTCTCAGTAGGCCAATTGTTTTAATGAGAGGAATCGTTTCTGGTGGACGATAGCCTAATTTTTTTCCCGGACGTTTTTGATCAAAAAAACAGGCTCAGAAGGATCCCGGTGGGAATGGGTGTGGTTGCGTTTCAGAGGGGGAAAAAAACAAATTCTCCATTCTCAGCCGGCAATCGCTCTCAGTGACCAGCATCGTTCTCAAGGAAAGAAAATGAACAGTTTTCACCAGATTTTTTCAGCTGAGTTGGGGCAGGGGACAGGAGTGTGTACTTTGGTGTGCAACGTGCACGCATCGTGCTCAGCAGCACTGACTGTGCTTTCTTACGAACACCGATCATTCTCACGAACACCGCATCCATGGACTTGGGATCAGACTGATTTGGGTGCCTAAAGCGGTTCTCCAGATCAATCATAATAAATTATTACGTTTTTCCGTGTTTCCTTCAGGAATCTAATTCATATTCAGCAAAGGATTACCTGAAATTTGATTGCAGCAACTATGACCTCCATATGTTGAAATTCCTTTGGAAAGGGTTTGCGTTTTGCCTGTATGAAGGATGGTTAGTGTGATTTTTTGGGCATTCTATATTGTTATTCAAAAATTGCCAAAGTTGAAACAGCCCTTCGGAATGGGCAGGGTTTCATTAGAATGATTGTAATTTGATTCGAAGCTTGTGATGTACTTGGTCCTATGTGCATATCTTTGTTTTCATGTATTTCTTTGTAGATATGTGATATCTGTTTGGATTTTGAATGCTACCTCGATTGGTTGCCACGACCATCTGAGCAGCTCAAGTTTGTGTTTGTCTCATAGTTAGGCAGTCAGTTAGCCAGTTGCTAGTGGTTTACAATGGGGGCATACAATACAATGACATACATGCATAATATATATATATATATTTATATCATATAATATTTGTATATATATATGTACAACAGATGTCAATGTCAAACATCAAAATATATCAGATATCTATATACAAAGATAAAACCAGCCACTAGCTGCTGGGATGGCGGCCAACATGGGCCCTGGTTTTCATTCCAGCGAAAGAATGATTGGTGAGTAACCATGATAAACAGCAAGATAATAAAGTAATATCTAAGCAATAGTGACCAAGATAGTTAGTTTGTGACTAATGTGTATTATTCACTGGTTGGCGACCCAACCATTTATAATTAGCAGCCAGAAAAGTAATGGCGTTTTAACTATCAAGAACGAGTAAAACCATTAAGCTATTAGTAGCAAAGTAGTGACCAAAATACTCAGTAATTATTATTGTTTATTATTCACTGGTTAGCAACCCAACCGCTTCTAGTTAGTGTCCAAGAAACAGTGACTATTTAGCTATCAATAAGCGGTAAAACCATCAAACTATTAATAGTGACCGAGATAGTTAGTTCGTAACTATTGTTTATTTCTACTGGTTGGCAACCCAAGCATTTATACTTTGTGACCAGAAACTAGTTACTATTTAACTATCAATAAGCAATAAGTAGTGACCAAGATTGTTTGTAACTAGTGTTTATTATTCACTGGGTAGCAACCCAACCATGTATAGTTAGTGACCAGCACATAGTGATTATTTAACTTTCAATAAGCAGTAAAACCACTAAACTATTAATATTGACCAAAAAAGTCAGTAACTATTGTTCTACTACTACTACTACTACTACTACTACTACTACTACTACTACTACTACTACGACTACGACTACGACTACGACTACGACTACGACGACTACTACTAGTAGCAACCAGCCCAAGACCCAAGGCCCCAAGCCTTAAATTCTAAATTGTATGAAGACCCATTGGCCTGGTGGAGTCGCCGTTGGCCGGTCCAAATTAAGATAATTTGCAGAGGATCCAGCTCGAGACCCAAGGCCTCAAGCCCTAAATTTTAAATTGTATGAGGACCCATTGGCCTGGCGGAGTCGCCGTTGGCCGGTTCAAATTAAGACAATGTGCAGAGGATCCAGCCCGAGACCCAAGGCCTCAAGCCCTAAATTTTTAAATTGTATGAGGACCCATTGGCCTGGTGGAGTTGCCGTTCCGGTTCAAATTATATGATATAGTCTTGGGTAGCAGAGGATCAAGCCCAAGACCCCAAGCCTTAACCACTAAACCCTAAGCCCTAAACCCATCAGCCCCCAAAGCAATGTACCAGCACACAGCACACAGGTCGTTGTATGCTATTGTTACTACCATTATGATGGTTGTTGACGGCCAATACCACTACAAGTACCAGCATTGAGCCGACCAAGATTACTAACCGAAGCAGTGCCTACTAAGAGTAACAACCAGCATTACAACTGCATCAAATAGTAGCAGCTCGTGTAGCTTGTTTGTGTGATACTATGGCAGATCCAGAGGAGATCCTGCCACCAGATGATGACCGCAGGGATGCCATCCTTGCGCTCGCGCTCGCGCACTTTATAGAGGATGCAGACCATTTGAACTATGATTGGGTCTATGAACAGCTGGGCATGGAGCGTGGGAAGAAGACAATCAAATTGGCACGAGCCTATTACAATTGGCTCTACCAGGAGCTTTGCAAGACGCGGCCGCCGCCGCCGCGTGAAGGGCCTAAAAGGCAAAGAGTTGCGCCTTCTTCAGCAGCAGAAGGCAGCTCGTCATCTTCCTCCCGTGCCCATCTTGGCGGTGGGGTCTACGGCTTTCTGGAAATGGTCGGAGATAGGAGCATGATCACCGGGAGCGAAGTCCAGCACAACCAGGAAGTTTTTGGGTCTGTCACTGACCAAGTAACACCCTTCGTTGGCAAAGGGGGTGCCGGGCCTGACTCGGGTGCAAATGCGTCATTCAGGAGATACCTGGTGGAGAAATAGTGACCACCAATAGGTGCAATTTGCTACTGACTCGCATTGGAGGGTGCAAATTTGACGATGATTGTTGTTTATTATTCATTGGTTGGCAACCCAACCATTTTGCAGTTAGTGACCAAAAATCATGTCTATTTAACTTTAAATAAGCAGTAGTAAACTATTAGTAGTGACCAAAATAGTCAGTAACTATGTTCTTTTAATTCCCAACCATTTATAACTAGTAACCACAAATACGTGCTATTTAACTATAGTCATCCTGAAGTAGATAGAATATCGGAAATTTTCAAAAAGGAATTTTTCAAAAAAAATAAATAGTTGGAATATTTTCAAAACCCTCAGTTTTTACACGCTTTTCGTCTTTGTTAAGTCATTTTTAGCCAGTTTTGGACACGGGTCTGGGGAAATTTTGAAAAATACAAAAATCAAACAACACCAAAAAATAGATAGAATATTGTTTCAAACCAGGTAGATAGAATATTTTGAGGGAATTGTGAACACCACGCGCAGACCCCACAGCAGCTTGAGACTGTTTTTCCACAGGATATTCCACCATATTCCACCTACCTACCCCTTTAAACCATATTCCAACTACCAGTTTTCGACCTCCCCGGGGGGGGTCGAAATATTCCAACTACCTGTTTTTTTTAAGTGGCCGACATCCAACATAATTCCAACATAAATCCCGCACCCTCCAAAAAATATTCTATCTACTTAAGGATCACTATATATATAAGCAGTAAAACCATTAAACTATTAATGGTGACCTAGATAATTAATAACTATTATTGTTTATGAATCACTGTGTAGTAACCCAACCATCCAAGATGCTGGTAAAGCAATAGGATCCACGACCATCCCCAAGTCATCACCATTTTGATGGCTAAACCATCAACATATGTCTGGTTTATGGCATTGTTTTTTCCAACATTATTAACGTTTTACTGATGTAAATGCTTCATACAGGGCTATTTGAAAAGAATTCCATTCAGATATTTGTTTGTTTTTTGTGGGTAAGCATTCCATCAGTAAACATCGTTGCTAAGCATTGTGGATCTAGACCTATACCATATTTGGGGGCATTGACATCTGCCAGCTTTGTTGATGTTCACTAGGGTGGTGAGGCCCCGCCTAGATAGCTAAGTTGATTTGTAACTTGGTTCAGTTGGTTTAGGGGGTATATATATATATATTATAGTGAAGGGGGCTATAACTTATAACTTATAACCAACTTAGAACTGGGGCTGCCCTCCTTGTAGCTATTTTATGATGTTCACCAGGGTACGAGGGTTTTGACCCATTGCTACTGGCCAAGGCTATGTTTTTGCATGCTTACTACTGCCCATGGTGAATGGCTGCCTCTCAAAGTCCTTTTGGTCGGGAAATCCAGAGGAATTTTTACCGGTCGGCGGCCAGTGCCCGGATTGATCAATGATTTTGCGTGCCATGGTCAACTGATTGGTGGTACATGTTTTTTCTATATATTGGGAATAATCATCCCAACTGACTTTCATATTTTCAGAGGGGTTGAAACCACCAACCGGTCAAAAGTTACGTTTTTGCCATGTTCATCGGGATGGTCATCAAATCATGTTCATCGGGATTTATACACACCCATCATACGGAATCCCATGATGGGGGGTGACATGCAACAGTCCCGTGTTTTGACCCTAGCACCTAACTGGTTGGTGGCTTGGAACATTTATTTTTTTGACTTTCCATTCAGTTGGGAATGCCATCATCCCAACTGACTTTCATTTTTCAGATGGGTTGAAATCACCAACCAGATTATAAATATATATATATGTTAGTTACATCAACTATATCCCATAGTTGTATCCCACCAATATCAACTATATGGTTGTATTTGTGATGGATCAGACGTTTTCTGTGGGATTCACCTGATGCCATGGTTCACCATCCCCGTTTTTGCCGGTGGAATCAACGATCTTCCAACGGGTAGGGGACCGGACCGTAGATGCACGGATAGACATGGTTTTCTACAGGTGCCCTGAATGAAGTTATGTTTATTTTGTTTTAAAGCTATTCAGATATAGTTATTATCTATAGTTTCTAAACAAACTTAGCTATCGTTTGTGGCAAACCATTCCTGAAAAGCTCGGGGGGATCTAAACCCGGACATATGTTTAGCCTACTCTTGTTGTAGCACATGAGCGCACTACTTGGGGAGGTACCCCCAAATGAATTTTCACCAGGGTAGATCTCAGATCTCAGTTGGGCATCTTCTGGTCAGAGTATATATATATATATATATATCCAAGTTTGCCACGGTCCGTGGATGTCCGTGGCACGGTGTTTGTTCCAGGCCTTGTTTCACCTTGTACTATGTCACGATGTCATGGCCCTTGCATCTCGGTCCTGCGAACTGTCCAAGGGACTTTGGGACTGGGAGGGAGACACGCGGAAGGCACTCTGCGAAATAAGTTGGTATATGGGCATAATTGTGGTACAATGTGAGGCCCCCAAGATAGCAAAGTTTGTTTATTAGTCCAATAACTAGGGTTTATGGTATTTATAGCTATATTTACTAGGGCTTTTTAGCCAATAACTGGGGGGGCCTCACATTGTAGAATACAACTAGAATGATCCTACAAACATGAATGGGTCTAAGATACATATTATATACATAATAATACTCCTTCGGGCGTTTGGGTATCCATAGTTAAAAGGGGAGTTGTATCCCAAAGTGATTTCTTGGGTTTTATGGCAGATATATCAGATATCATATATGCACTATATGCAGTTGGATAGGTAAAACATGGTGAAATTAAACCACTCGTACATCACAGTGAAGTTCCTCTTTCCAACTGCTGTCTGCAAATGTTATGATCCCTAGATATCGGAGGGGAGATGTAGTACTGTTTGAATATTTTCTGATATCCAACATAAGTGAAAAGGTGGCTCCCTTAGCTATATTGGTTTTAAAACAACATTATACAACAAAACAGATAGATATAAATATATATATACACACACCGTAAAACTAATATAAACATAGATAAACTATAGATAGTGGAGTCACAAACGAACTTCGCTCTCTATCATTCCATTCAACCCAGCCCCACCTTATAGGTGACGAGAAATCAGCCAGCTTCCAACCTTCGGGAAGCGACCCAAGCGATCCCTCTACAGCTACTATCCTAGGTGAAAGATAGAAAAATATGTGAAAAACCCAGAGGGAAAACCGTTCGCATAGCTGAAACATGGGGTCCCAAAGATTGTTCCAAAGATTGTTCTATTGGATATAGCCCTTGTTTTGTTCATTTCCATTTGAATTGTTGGGTGTATGTTTTGTTCCCAGATCCCACAAGGACATGGCTGGTTTGAGGTTCATCGATTGAACTCCTAATGACTCGTGGTTCCCCTCCAGTGATTTGGGTGTGTTCATTTGGTTTCAGACAACGAACACCTTCGATGCATAAACCCAATCGAATTCACGGAGTGAGATTTACCAACCTAGCTCAACTGACTTCAGTAAATCCCATAAAATCCCATAAAATCACCATAAATATATTAAATGCCATTAAAGTCCATTGACTCACCATTTTTTGCTGGTTCGTAACTGGGCTCCGGAGCCTCCGGTCTGAGGTGGAGATGCGGCTTGGCAATCTCCAGCGGAGCTCTTGCATCTCGACGCGGAAGAGACGTGGGAGGGAAAAGGTGGGTCCCCCAAAGTTAATGGTGATTAATGGTGATCAATAGTGGTTAAAAATGGTTAATAGTGGTTGATAGTGACCAATGATGGTTATATAAGTTATATATTATTTTATATTCCATCAATGGAAATATAAAGCTGTTTTACAATGTGGGGCCCCCCAGATGGCTAAGTTGGTTTATAAACCCCATGAATACTATACCTATAACTACCATAAACGCTATAGTGAAACTGAATTTATTGGCACCAACTTAGCTATCTAGCGGGGGCTACATTGTAAGTTTGTTTGTCGTTTCAATGACGATTGGGTTTATATGAGTGACAAACAAACTTAGCTATAGTTTGGCAATATGATAATTCCACGTAATGGGATGTATATATTATATATATAAGTAAATCAACTTACAGCTGGGACCATTTTGTCGTTTGTTTAAATAGTTTTATGGTACTGGGTTGCTCCAAACACTGAGACGTGTTGGGAGGAAAGCAACAAATGAAGAGATCAAATCGATTCAAATCGATCAAATCAGAACTCTTCATTCCCATGGTGGCTATCACCACTTGGAGCAAGCCGATTTCGCCCTGATTTCGGCGCTAGCGCCGAGATTCAACCGGACCAGCGGAGGTGTTTGTTTTGAGCTGTTTTGGAATAGATAGGGGATATATGGGGATATGACATTGAGCGACCAACTAACTGGCAGTGTTTGTCCAAGTGTAATTTTTTTTTCTGGTGGACATAGCAGTTTGATGGTCTTGTACATATATCTCTAAAGCAACTTGCAGCTGGGGAAGTCCCAAAAAAGTGGCCAGACATATATCCACCATAGACTCCAGTCAATATAAACATACAATGTGAGGCCCCCAAGATAGCTAAGTTGGTTTATAACTCCAATAACTATGGTTTATGGTATTTATAACTATAGTTACTAGGGCGGTATATCTTGGGGGTCTCACATTGTACATTAGTTGAGCTATTTTGCGGAATCCTCATGCTGATTGCTTCACCCAGCATTTCTGTTGCTTTTTCAAGCCTACCTGGTGGCTCGTCCCACGAATCGTAAGTGGGTTATATCCCAGTTATAAGTGGGTTAACCCTAGTTATCCCACTTATAAGTGGGATATAACCCACTTACTAAGTGGGATGAGCCACCAACTATGTTTGCTGGTGACCAATTTTCCGCCAAGGTGCACTGTTTGATGCAACAAGTCCTCCACAAAGCTGGGCTGCTGTGGCTAAACAGGTATGGCCCGAAATACAAATTAGATGCTGGTACACGAAGGGAACACATACAGGCCGAATGGGGAAACCAGTCCAAGATAAGGGACCCCAATGACCCCAAATTTGATGTATACCATTTTTGACATACCCAAAACTATAGTTTGAAAAGGATAATTGATCCATAACCTAAAACTGATGCATCAGCATTTCTCTCATTACAATGGTGATTAATGGTGATCAATAGTGGTTAAAAAATTGTTAATGGTGGTTGATAGTGACCAATGATGGTTATATATATATAATTTATATATTATTGTTCATTCCATCAACTGGCAAAGAGCCATCATATACGGGTTAAATGGGAATGTATAACTGCTGGTTGGTGGTTTGAACCATTTTTTATGTTCCATAATATATGGGATAATCCTTCTCATTGACTAATATGTTTCAAGATGGTTAAAACCACCAACCAGACTGCTATATTTACATTTTACTGGTTTATGGGTTATATGGGAAATATAACTGCCTTAGAAGTGGTAAAGAGCCAGCACTGAGACGGGGCTGGTTCAGTGGAGCAGTGTGGGATGCTACGCTTTGAGTTTACCCACGTGGTGTCTGGAATGGGACCCCAACAATGGCTATTTAATAGGGAGCAGGATGGAGACTATATAAATATATATATACATGATTTTGGCACAATCTATTTTCAGACAAAGCCACATGATAGAAAAACACGGTTTTTCATATGGTTTGGCAACTAGATGTTGGGGAAAATTGCGGTTTTCGTTTTAGTCGGAACTCTAAACAACCTCAGCAATTTCCGAAATTTTGTGCACTAAAAGCAGCCGGAGCTATAGTACCCCAAAGGTGGCTTGACGTGTTTTCTCCAGCCTATCGAACGGGGGGATGGAACAACACTGGAGGATCATCCGCCAGTGTTGACACAGGCTCCAAGTGTGGGACCAACTGGATTACTTCCAGCATTGATCCAACTTGGGTGTAATAAAATGATACTATATACTCATATATAGCATTATGCACCAGTAAATCTGGCTGGTTGGTATAATCAAGCCCATTATATACTCATTATACAAATCCAAGTATAGTATATCATGATATATCCACGGATCTCAAGTTCAGGTTTATCAACTCTGGTTGGATGGATTTCCCCCCAATCCGATCGTATGGCCCATAGTTCAGCAACCACCCCCACGATGAAACCATAGCTTCTGGGGAGGTGATCAGTACTGTGGATGGTTGCGAAATCCTGCACCCCAGCTGGTAACCGGTAACAAAGCACTGTATTTGTTCCACGGGATAACAGTATTAACCTAGCTATCGTTTTTTGACAGCCCACCTTGTAGGACCGCATGGTCGTGAGTCAATAATTCACTTTAAAAAATGTGTCAGCATGTGTCAGCATGATCCTGGAAATGGATTTTTGGTTGGTGGTTTGTTTTTTAATATATATTTTCCATATATTGGAAATAATCATCCCAACTGACTTTCATATTTTTCAGAGGGGTTTGTCAACCACCAACCAGATTTCCCTCTGGTCCACTATAAATGGAAGTTTTCATCGAAGAGAAACATCTATCAATGGTTGATGGTCCATTGCGATGTTTGACTACCAGAGGGTATACGAGTTTGCCCAAAAAATGTGGTCAATTATGGTAAATTCTGTTTTCTTTTTATTTTAGCAAATGTATGCTTGGTATAAAGTCACATCTACCCATATTGGAACATGTTGGGCAAATGGATTTGTTTATCTGACGAAGAGTGCGGTCCAGAATATAGTTTTCATTCGACCCCGGTGATGAGCCGAAATTTCCAGGATCATCAGAGGGTTTTTTTGTTAAGAAATCAGGATGTCTTAATCAATGGTTTTTAGCATCAGGCATCTGCGGGCCAGGTAGTCTAAATATCTCTTAATGAGGTGGCTGGTTGGTGCATCTATAGGGCCATAGGGTTTTCATATCCCACCCCTTTCTTCCTATGCGCAGAACGTGAATACGATTTCCACTTCACAGACTACACAGATTCAGTGACCCCATAGATGGAAAACATTTACCAAGAAACGTGGTTGTTGGTGGTTAAGATTCGCGCTTTTCTCACTTGTCCCCTCTTATCTTCATGTTTTCTACCTAGCTTTTCATGGTATAAAACCCATTTAAAACCATATAAAACCTTATAAAACCTTATAACACCATATAAAACCATATAACACCATATAAAACCTTAGAAAACCATATGAAACCATATAAAACCTAATATAAAACCATATAAAACCATTAAACAAAAAATATAAAACCATATAAGGCCATATAAAGCCATACATATAATATAAAACCATATAAAACCATAAAACCATATAAAACCACCAAAACTGCTGATGATGGTTGCGGTTCTTGGGGCTTAATATTCGCCCTTGGGTCGAAAATGTGGGGGACTTGGCCACTATTTTTTGTGGTATGGTTACCATTCCCAGTCATGGGTAGCGGTAGCGTATTTTTGTTTTATCCACATTATATATATATAGATATTGATGGTGGACCTGCATCCATAACTTTATCATTGCTGGTTAACCACATGGTCAGAAAATTTACGTTTTTCTATCGCAATGGCCGATCACACAGATGATGCACAAGCAGTTGCTGAAATATCCGAAGAGATGCTCATCGATGGTCCGCAAATGGCAGATGTTACTTGCGAACTGGAAAAGCCAAAAGACACGCTTGCAATTACTGATTAGACAGGTGGGCTGCTGTGATGTATGCCCTGGTGACCATGGCGACAACGTTGCTGAAATGGTCTACATGGGAGGGTACGCCCGTGGGACAACAGGCACCCACGCTATGCTTGTTCATCAATGTGGTGGACAGGCTGGCCACAATGGCACTTGGGGCGTTTTGCATGCCCGACATGCCTTACCTCAATACTCCTGAGGAAACCACCCCACATGGACTGGCGATGGAATCTCAGCTGATCCAGACGGCAGTGTATCTCCAATAATTCTGCGCCATGTCCAACTTCAAGAGGATGCTATGGAAGATGCACCTGTAAAAAAGGTGAGGAAATCTACGGCTGGCCGTCGATTCGCTGAGATTTGGAAAAACTGATTAGTTCAAAGTCGAAAATACAACCTTCCGGAGATGAAATTCAGAAACATTTGTTCAATGCTTTACTGGTTGGTGGTTTGGAACATGGCTTTTATTTTCCCATTCAGTTGGGAATGTCATCATCCCAACTGACGAACTCCTATTTTTCAGAGGGGTTGAAACCACCAACAAGTTTATCATGAAGCAGCAAAACCATCGAAGTTCCGGATGGCAAGATGAGCCACTCGTTTTTATACCTCCACATTGGATTTTAACCACATTATGATTCCAAGACCAATTTGACCAAGGCATCGCCCAATCTTACTCTGAACGGGTAGGTGGGCAGTTCAGAACAATCTAGTTGAGTAGGTCAGGCTATAACAATCTACAGTTATGGCCCGAAATACCGGTTGTTGTTATGTTTATAACTGGTTAAACTGGATAATTCTTTGGGATTATACATAACGTAAATGCGGAGACTTTGTGACAAACATAACTGGTAAAGGGCCATAACTGTATGAATCTGCATACGAATTTTGCAAACAATCATCAAATTCTGGTAAAGCATTCAGCTTGAGACGTTTTCCACCTCAAAGTCGTTTTCTTTGGTTCTTCTTTTTTGCTGACTTTTGGCTACGTTGAAGGAGTTCATTTTCAGCTGATTTGGGCTGTTGTTTTCTTAACCGGATATCTCAGGCTTTGGACGTCGCTGCCGGTAGCTCTCATACATTTGATCTTTGCGGTTCTCGCGCTGGTCTACATCACTGAGGAGCAGGGATGCGTCGCACGGTTGGGTGAAACCGCATGGCTATTTGTTTGGGCAGCAAATGAGGTGGCAAAGAGCATGAAGGTACAGTTATGGCCCGAAATACCAGTTTTAGGTACTGAAATATCCCCATAAAAATGGAACGTATAATTCCATTTATAACCAATTATGACCAATAAATGGCCATACATAACTGTAATGTACCTCAAAGAAGTGGTTTGCCTGCAAACATAAATACTCTGACCCATTTGTATGATTGCTTACTGAGGGCGTCTACTGGTTCCACACTGGATATTGCGACCAGCTAATTTCGGACATACCACAAAATCTTTGACATTAACCCGGCATTATGCCGGCTCTGTCGCCATACTTCTGTTGTGCAATGTGTCAAGATATGGACGGTTTCTGTTTCTCTTGTTTGGAATGATGATGACCCCCGATGACTTTCACATATGATGACTGGATAATTGTGTGCTGCAAGGTACATCGGTAAGCAGCCGATATGAAAGAAATTATGCTATTTAACTGTGGGATTGTGTGTGAACAAATATATATATATATATATGTATATACATCTATAATATATTATTATACTGGTTGGTGGTTTGGAACATGTTTTATTGTTCAGTTCAGTTGGGAATGTCATAATCCCAACTGACGAAGTCATACTTTTCGGAGGGGTGGCTCAACCACCCCATCCAACGAGTTTCAGATGTCAGAAATGCAACAGCCCAGTTGGCCCAGTTGGGTTTACCACCTTAAGACTCTCCGTTAAGGGAATTCCTATGTTTTTGTTAATCGCCTTTCTCATGATAATGATATGAAATGACTTTACTCAGTCATGATATGATTGATATATTTCGAATTGTTGCAACCCAGGTATAAGTTGGTTCATAACCCCTTTAACTAGGTCGATATATCTACTATGAACATTCATAAACCATTCAATTCAGCTAGGCAAATGGCAAATGCTGATTACCGACTTGGCTCTCATTAAATCCCATTAAATCCAATGAACTCCCATGAAAATCTCATGGGAATTATATGAATACCTATTAGATCCCAATAAATCACCATGAAATCCACCTTTTTCATCCACATCAATCACCATTAACTCACCATTTTTGCTGAGAACGACCTCGTCAAGTCCAACCTTTGGATCCCCTTGGGTTGGACCTGAACGGTGGGGGCCCGGCCATCTGGCAATCTTCGCCAGGAATGGGCAATCTTTGCAGAGATGGTTTGCTTGTGACGCGACGGCATTGACGGGGACGGAATGGGTCGAGCCATTGGAACCGCCCTGGTTGGTGCGTTGGGGAAAACCATAGGAAAATGGCGGTTTAAAGACTTTTTATGGTGGTTTTATGGGATTTAATGGGATATACCACCTGGTTATGACGAACAGTTCGCCATGGAAAATCCCGAAAATAAATGGAGGTTTCTAGCTGGGAAAATCATCTATAGTTATATATATATATACTGGTTGGGTGGTTTGGAACATGGCTTTTATGACTTTCCATTCAGTTGGGAAGAATGATCCCAACTGACGAACTCATATTTTCAGAGGGTTAGGTATACCACCAACCAGCATTTAGTGGGACTATAATGGGTCTTCATAGATCAATTGAAGCATTATATAGCATTATTTATGGAGTATGGATTTGTTTTTTAAGATTATACAAGGTCCACATCTTCAATACTCACTTGAAAAATGAAGATAGTGAAGGCAACTTCAGTTTGAGGGTAAACACAATTTTGGGCAGCCTATTGTACCACAAATTTTAGTATGTGTTTAGTACTAATCTAATTATTGGGTACCCAAATTTTACCCATAGCCACATTGAGATCTGGGGACGGGATTTTTGGTGATCTCTGATGGTGATTTTTGTGTGGAAATTCAGGGTGATTTCATGGAATTAACGGTGATTTAGTAGGATGTTATGATCTTTGATGGGATTTTAGGATGCTGCATGGATTTGAAAACCAGAGATTTGGTGGTTTTTATGTAGGACACAAAACAACTCAAAACATTCGAACGTTGGAGAATGATGTGGAGATAAAGCATCCAAGATTGGGGAGATAACAATCCATGAGAAAATGTGATGCCATGGGATTAATGGGGATAATTCTCTCAGGTTATTTAACATAGCTATGGGATATGACATTAACATAGGTTAGTGATATATTATAATGTTCAATATGACATAGCTAATGACATCGATTAATGATTATTACCATTTGGTTATTTTTTAAATAGCTATGGGATATGGCCCGTTTATAGATGATTTATGGTCATTTACCTATTGAACATGATGATTTTCCATGGCTGCGTTAAATAACCAGAGGGTAATGGAAATAGAATGGCGATCGTCAATGGTATTTATGAACATTAATGGCGATAATCAATGGCAAAAATCAATTGATGAGTATTAATGAACGTTTATTTTATGTAGAGTTCACCCAAAGATTAAAAAAACAAAGCTATCATGTGGGGACTTTTTTCTTGTCATAAATATATAAACATGAAGATGTTGGGGTTGGTTACTACTGGGATTACCACGTGTTTTTTTGAGGATTGATGTGCGTTTCCATTTTGTTGGAGGGGTTGCCACAATGGATCATGCATTAGCTATATGGTTTATAAACAGTTATAAACATTAGCTATATGGCTATGGTTTATAAATAGTTAAACATATCTATCATAAACCATAGTTGATAAGACACCATTTAGTTGATTAGTTGAATCATTTGTGTTGAGATAGACGATCGACAATTGGGAATATCATTAATGATAAAACCATCACGTCGATGGTCGATGGTTTTTTGCGGGACATTTTATTGGGATATTAACCACAATCTCTTCTAGAAGGTGGGACCCCCAGACTATAGCTAAGTTGTTTTTTCCCACTCCAACAACTATGGTTTATGATAGATATGTTTAACTATTTATCAACCAGAGCCATATAGCCAATGTTTACAACTGTTTATAAACCATATAGCTAATGTTTACAACTGTTTAAAAAACCCTAGCGAATGGGGTTTGTAAACCTATTTTTAACTGGGGGGCCTCCAGTACCACATGTGGAATATCTCCAGTTGCACACAATAGATGGGACTCTATGTATGTTTTTTTTCGAAAACAATAGTTGGGTATCAAATGATGGATGATATTGAACCATGCGTAATGTACATAATACCCTCTGGTAAACTAACATAGCTATTGAAAATGGCCTCTTATAGTTGATTCACCCATTAGAAATAGTGATTTTCCATTGTTTTTTGTATGTTTACTAGATGGTATTCGATATTCCAGAACATGTTGATTTTCACCAACCATGAGGTCAGAACTAGGCCCCCCCACAGGGACCATTTTTTGAAGAAATTCCGTGTTTGGGGGACCCCAAAATCACGAGTTGCCATCGAAAGATCAACAGAGGAAATCTAAAATACCTAGGATGCTATGGAAGATGGTCTACTGGTTGGTGGTTTGGAACATGACTTTTATGACTTTCCATATACTGGGAATAGTGATCCCAACTGACTAATATTTTTCAGAGGGGTTGAAACCACCAACCAGTCTATGGATAGTTTACTGTTTTTTTTCTACTGCTATCTCCAATTTCCAGAGAGGAGTCAACAGAAATAGGGGCAAAACATGCGACTTAACCAACCAAAAATGGGATTTTACTAGCAGGTGGAGGGGGGCATCTTGTACCACGCGTTTTTTTTGAGCAATTAGTGTCCTAAATCCGGACACCGCACAATTTTGGAATGTGGAACAGTGATATATTATATAATTTTTTTGCATGTCATTTCTGTTCCAAATTTGTTACTAGCAGTAAAGGATATCAGCAGCTCAGAGTTGTGGTTTTTAAATGATTGCCTGCAGATACCGGCCGACAGAATAGGTCTGGTTGATTCAGGATGGGGCCGACAGTCAAAAGTTCGTCTAGAACATCATCCAACTTTGGATATTCTCACCAGAAATCCGCATAAGTTAGATACACCACAACTTAGCTATTGTTTGGGGGACCCTAGTTGGTTGGTTCTACAACAAAAACATGTTTCATTTTCCAAGCAGATTTTTTAAATGATATGATCTCCGGGGATTCAATGTCTCTGGATTTTTAAGGTTAACCCCACGAAAATGCAGTGGGAGATCATTGATGATATCATCTTCCCTATGAAAATTCAAATGCGAAGGAAACATACAGTTTTCATATGAGCCGAGCTCTAAATGATCGTAAATAAATATATTTCTGGAGCGTTCACTGCTGTTTTGTTTTTAGGGGATTTGGCTTGGAAAACAAAATTGGGGACGTTCTGAAGAAGGTTACCCCCCAAACATCTTGAGTTGGGAGATCCTCCAAAATGGTACTGTAAAATTGTCATTGAAAAACCCGGCCGGACTCAACGATACCCCAACGATACCCCAAAAGAGCACGTTTCCGTTTCCAATTTCAGGAGATGCCCAAAACCACAAGAAAGTATTTCATCTCCCAAATCTAAAATGCCAGGAATAAGGGACCCTCACATTGCTTTTTCCTATCTTCCCTTCCTCGTCCTTTCCTTTTCCTTTCTTCGTCCTTTCCTCTTCTTTCCTTTACTTGTCCTTTCTTCTTCCTTTCCATTGCCTTTCTTCTTCCTTTCTTTTTCCTCTCTTCTTCCTTTCCTTTTCCTCTCTTCTTTCTTTCCTTTCCCTGTCTTATTTGTTTCCTTGTTCTTTCCTCTTTCTTTCTTCTTCCTCTCATCTTTCCTTCCTCTTCCTTTCTTTGTCCTTTCCTCTTCCTTGCCTCTTCCTTTGCTCTTCCTCTCCCCCTTACTGATTTGCTTTTCTTACGCAGATCTTTGCATTTTAGCTCAAGGTCCAGAAGAGGAAACCGGAAAACCAAGAATGAAGGTGAATGAAGCCAATCAGCCCCACTGAATCGCAGCAAATTTGTGACAGAAGTACCGACTCAGATAGCGCTTGAACATTTCTGCATCATGAGTCATCCCAAAGCCAAAAGCGTACGGATTGGAAAACGATAGGGTACGTCCAAACTTACAAGGGAAAACACACCTCAACAATATAGAGCCTGCCTCATATAGACCTACTTGGATAATTTCTTGTGTCGGCTTTAATGGTTGACTTTTAGCCATTTTGATGGCTTTGTGCAAAAGACTGATGAGAGGCTGGTAGGGGTCATTGACTACCGTTATACTCATGCCAGTTCACATCGAAACATTTTGAGACTGGGGGATTGTGCAGTGCCATGTCAATGTCCGTCAGTTTTTTTTTGGGATACATCCGGATGTTTTTTGAATTACCCTCTGGTAAACTAACATAGCTGTAGAAAATCACAATTGTTAGTGGGTAAATCAACTATAAATGGCCATGTTCAATAGCTATGTTAGTCATTTCCAGAGGGTGCTTTCCAGTAAATTCACCGAGACCGCAAAAAAAATAGTATTTTTTCGTGGAAACGGATTATCCAAGATATGATCCAAGATACTGGATGCTGGTCAGGCCATTGGTTTTATTAGCATATAGAATGGGCTAGCGCCCTGGTGCCGCCGACCCCTCTATTGGGGGTGGTCCGGTAGAGAGAGAGAGAGAGAGAGATCATTGCGCTTAGAATTGCGATGGTCGCCGACATGTGCTGCAGTCTTCATGCTCAAATTTGACCCGACATCTCTGGGTTGCTATGCCCCCTCCCTGCTTGACATGCTTTCGCAGGCGCGGAACCAGTATGTGGTTTCATCCCCTTCACCGTGGTTTCGTTGAAGCATGTTTAAGGAGAAGGGATGATGTTGGTTGAGAAACATAATTTTCGGAGTTGCAGGGAAGCGTTAGGGGAGTTTTGAGGACTTTGGGCGTTTGGAAGGCTCCAAAACGCAGGCTTGAACCCCCATAAAAAGACAATGTCGCAGCTGGCAAACGGCATGGGAGCTGCAGAGAAGCGTCTGGGGAGTTTTGCGGGCTGGCAAACGGCAGGCTTGAACCACCAGACAAGGACAATGCCGGGGCTGGCAAACGGCATGGGAGCTGCAGGGAAGCATTTGGTGGGTTTTGCGGGCAGGTAAACGGCAGGCTTGAACCACCATAAAAGGACAATGCCGGGGCTGGCAAACGGCATGGGAGCTGCAGGGAAGCATTTGGGGGGTTTTGCGGGCGGGCAAACGGCAGGCTTGAACCACCATAAAAGGACAATGCCGGGGCTGGCAAACGGCATGGGAGCTGCAGGGAAGCATTTGGGGGGTTTTGCGGGCTGGCAAACGGCAGGCTTGAACCACCATAAAAGGACAATGCCGGGGCTGGCAAACGGCATGGGAGCTGCAGGGAAGCATTTGGGGGGTTTTGCGGGCTGGCAAACGGCAGGCTTGAACCACCATAAAAGGACAATGCCGGGGCTGGCAAACGGCATGGGAGCTGCAGGGAAGCATTTGGGGGGTTTTGCGGGCTGGCAGACGGCAGGCTTGAACCACCATAAAAGGACAATGCCGGGGCTGGCAAACGGCATGGGAGCTGCAGGGAAGCATTTGGGGGGTTTTGCGGGCGGGCAAACGGCAGGCTTGAACCACCATAAAAGGACAATGCCGGGGCTGGCAAACGGCATGGGAGCTGCAGGGAAGCATTTGGGGGGTTTTGCGGGCGGGCAAACGGCAGGCTTGAACCACCATAAAAGGACAATGCCGGGGCTGGCAAACGGCATGGGAGCTGCAGGGAAGCATTTGGGGGGTTTTGCGGGCTGGCAAACGGCAGGCTTGAACCACCATAAAAGGACAATGCCGGGGCTGGCAAACGGCATGGGAGCTGCAGGGAAGCATTTGGGGGGTTTTGGCTGGCAAACGGCAGGCTTGAACCACCATAAAAGGACAATGCCGGGGCTGGCAAACGGCATGGGAGCTGCAGGGAAGCATTTGGGGGGTTTTGCGGGCTGGCAAACGGCAGGCTTGAACCACCATAAAAGACAATGCGGGGGCAAACGCATGGGAGCTGCAGGGAAGGGGGTTTTGCGGGCTGGCAGACGGCAGGCTTGAACCACCATAAAAGGACAATGCCGGGGCTGGCAAACGGCATGGGAGCTGCAGGGAAGCATTTGGGGAGTTTTGCGGGCGGGCAAACGGCAGGCTTGAACCACCATAAAAGGACAATGCCAGGGCTGGCAAACGGCATGGGAGCTGCAGGGAAGCATTTGGGGGGTTTTGCGGGCTGGCAAACGGCAGGCTTGAACCACCATAAAAGGACAATGCCGGGGCTGGCAAACGGCATGGGAGCTGCAGGGAAGCATTTGGGGGGTTTTGCGGGCTGGCAGACGGCAGGCTTGAACCACCATAAAAGGACAATGCCGGGGCTGGCAAACGGCATGGGAGCTGCAGGGAAGCATTTGGGGGGTTTTGCGGGCGGGCAAACGGCAGGCTTGAACCACCATAAAAGGACAATGCCGGGGCTGGCAAACGGCATGGGAGCTGCAGGGAAGCATTTGGGGAGTTTTGCGGCTTGAACCACCATAAAAGGACAATGCCGGGGCTGGCAAACGGCATGGGAGCTGCAGGGAAGCATTTGGGGTAGTTTTGCGGGCTGGCAACGGCAGGCTTGAACCACCATAAAAGGACAATGCCGGGGCTGGCAAACGGCATGGGAGCTGCAGGGAAGCATTTGGGGAGTTTTGCGGGCTGGCAAACGGCAATCTTGAACCACCATAAAAGGACAATGCCGGGGCTGGCAAACGGCATGGGAGCTGCAGGGAAGCATTTGGGGAGTTTTGCGGGCTGGCAAACGGCAGGCTTGAACCACCATAAAAGGACAATGCCGGGGCTGGCAAACGGCATGGGAGCTGCAGGGAAGCATTTGGGGGGTTTTGCGGGCTGGCAAACGGCAGGCTTGACCACCATAAAAGGACAATGCCGGGGCTGGCAAACGGCATGGGAGCTGCAGGGAAGCATTTGGGGGGTTTTGCGGGCGGGCAAACGGCAGGCTTGAACCACCATAAAAGGACAATGCCGGGGCTGGCAAACGGCATGGGAGCTGCAGGGAAGCAGTTTTTGGGGCAGGTTTGGGAGCTGCATTTGGGGGTTTTGCGGCTGGCAAACGGCAGGCTTGAACCACCATAAAAGGACAATGCCGGGGCTGGCAAACGGCATGGAAGCTGCAGGGAAGCATTTGGGGAGTTTTGCGGGCGGGCAAACGGCAGGCTTGAACCACCATAAAAGGACAATGCCGGGCTGGCAAACGGCATGGGAGCTGCAGGGAAGCATTTGGGGAGTTTTGCGGGCGGGCAAACGGCAGGCTTGAACCACCATAAAAGGACAATGCCGGGGCTGGCAAACGGCATGGGAGCTGCAGGGAAGCATTTGGGGGGTTTTGCGGGCTGGCAAACGGCAGGCTTGAACCACCATAAAAAGACAATGCCGGGGCTGGCAAACGGCATGGGAGCTGCAGGGAAACATTTGGGGGGTTTTGCAAGCTGGCAAACGGCAGGCTTGAACCACCATAAAAGGACAATGCCGGGGCTGGCAAACGCATGGGAGCTGCAGGGAAGCATTTGGGGGGTTTTGCGGGCTGGCAAACGGCAGGCTTGAACCACCATAAAAGGACAATGCCGGGGCTGGCAAACGGCATGGGAGCTGCAGGGAAGCATTTGGGGGGTTTTGCGGGCGGGCAAACGGCAGGCTTGAACCACCATAAAAGGACAATGCCGGGGCTGGCAAACGGCATGGGAGCTGCAGGGAAGCATTTGGGGAGTTTTGCGGGCTGGCAAACGGCAGGCTTGAACCACCATAAAAGGACAATGCCGGGGCTGGCAAACGGCATGGGAGCTGCAGGGAAGCATTTGGGGAGTTTTGCGGGCTGGCAAACGGCAGGCTTGAACCACCATAAAAGGACAATGCCGGGGCTGGCAAACGGCATGGGAGCTGCAGGGAAGCATTTGGGGAGTTTTGCGGGCTGGCAAACGGCAGGCTTGAACTCCCTGAAAAACAGATGGCAGGGGCATGTAGCTGTAAGAGTTGTTGCCTTGGAGGCCTGCGGAAGCGTTTGGAGGTTGTTGCCTTGGAGGCCTGCGGAAGCGTTTGGAGGGTTTCAGGCCGGTCAAACGGCAGTCTTGAACTCCCTGAAAAACAGATGGCAGGGGCATGTAGCTGTAAGAGTTGTTGCCTTGGAGGCCTGCGGAAGCGTTTGGGGGGTTTGAGGCCGGGCAAACGGCACTCTTGAACCCCCTGAAAAACAGATGGCAGGGGCATGTAGGTGTAAGAGTTCGGCAGGAGCATGTAGATGGCTGGGGCATGTATAGCTGGCAGAGGTGTTGCCTTGATGGCGTGTGCCTTTGCTTGCGACCCGAGAGCCAAGTTCCACACCTCCGGTGGTCCCAGGCGCCGCCCCTGCCTTGGCAAAGGCCGGGGTCGGCGGATTTATTGTCTAAAATCATGTTTATGTTTTTTATTGAGTATATCATATATATATCTACGGCTGTGGCCACGGCTATCAGTTAGAATAGCTTATTCTAATGGGACTATACATAAACCATAAATGGTACGCATTCCATTTTTATGGGCTTATTTCAATACAAACATAGCTGTTATAACTCGGGCCATAACTGTGGGTTCATGGATCTTACCCAAATTTTCACCAAGAATTCGATTCAGCAACGTGTCGTGGTCGCCACAACAATCCGGGGTCCACAAAATGTGGGTCGGGCTGAGGCTGGGTCTCGATGCGAAGGTTGCCATTGCCACTGGGCATGAGGAAACAAAGGAGGTGCGTTGGCCCATAAACCATAAACCATAAACCTACAATGTGGGGCCCCCTAGATGGCTAAGTTGGTTTATAACTTCAATAACTATGGTTTATGATACTTACAACTATAGTTAATGGGGTTTATAAACCAACTTATAACTGGGGGGCTCCACATTGTAGCATTTGGGGATTGTGCTTACAACCTATTGATGGCTATTTTGGGGATGGTTTCTTTGTAGGGTTTACCACATGAAAATCTTCAACATGATGGAACACCCCTACAAATATGGAGGTTTTGATGGGAAAATCATCGAATTTTTTGGGGGGTTTTCCATGTTTAGCCGTATGTTTGACACCGGAGGGTGTATCAGCCATGACCTCACCATAGATTTTGGGAATGATATATTGGGCAAATCATCCCCAAATTGTTTCTAATCTAGTGTAGAACATATTATAACTGTCCCAGATAGAATGGGGAGACAGGGGGGATACAAAGCCAAAGCCTAAAGCAACAATCATGGATCATGGGAGATTAATAATGTGGATAAATTCTCTTAAATGCTGGGTAGAATCATGAAACATGGTGGTACAATGATAAGACAATGGGAATAATTGGGGATATAACAGCAGCGTACCTTTCTTTCGACTAGTGAATTCGCATGATTCATCCAGAATTACGCTTTGTATATGGGAAGTCATCCAAACAATCGATGTTTTCCAATTCGCCTGTGGTTAGATTGGGTGAAAATTGGGGACCCCAACAGTTAGATGGTTAATAGATGGTTAGTACAAAAAAGAAACCATAACCATGGGTTAAATATAAATGGTTAGTACATGTTAGTACAGTTAGATGGTTAATACACAGTTAGATGGTTAGTTAATATAAATGTGTATCCCCCAGCTCTTCAATCTTGTCTGGTCTTCGGGGACCTACTCACCATTTTTTTGGGGGGTGACGAACTCGCACATTCAGGCAGTGCATGCTGGTGCTGCGGGGCCCCATAGGTCGCTAAGTTGGTGAACATAACTCAAAATAATGCTTATGGTGCAAGGCTGGGTCTCCCTCAGCTATAAGTTGGCTTATAATTAACCCGTAATAACTAGTTCGTTATCTCCCTATGAACCCTATAGGTATTGGAGCCATAAACCAACTTACCTATTATATCTAGGGGGCCCCGTTTTGTAGATAGATTGAACTAGTTATATAATAGGGGTTATAAACCAACGAACATAACTATTGGCCCCACTTTGTATGGCCAGCTGGGTGGATACAGATTGATATGGATCAAACAAAGTTTACCAATGGACCAGCAAGTTCTTCTTCTGGAAAAGTTTGATCACGACCTCACTGCGACGTCCCGACATAAATTAATAAATGATCATAAATGATGATAAGAAGGTGCAACTATCCTGAAGTAGCCTTAATTTGGGTTGGATGATTTATCTAGATTCTTGGCACTTGACTCTGTTTGAAAGCATCCAAATGTCTGTTGTGAATGATTCTGAGCCTGTTTCACATGTCAATTTGATTCACCGACAAAATATCCATATCCTATGAGTTTAGCTCTCTCTTAATTACACTCATGGTCTCATTGGGTTTACACAAAATATCAATGAACATACAAGATGGGGCCCCGAGTCATACCTTAGTTTCTAAACCCCACTAGTTCATACTAGTTCGATATATCTACCATAAATCATCATAAAGCCAACTGTTTTTGGACTTCTGTTCGCCGACTTTGCTATCTAAATTCCATCAAAAAATCCACTACATCACCATAAATATATAGTTTTATGGTAGATATATCACAAGTACAATCACCATTAAATCCCACTATGGTTTTGGGGCCCTACCATTCGATGTCTTGAACCACCCAAGGAAGGCCTGGCATTCGACTGGTTCCAATCGGAGCATCCCTCCTTCGGCTTGCAGGTTGGGACTTCGAATCATCCGGTCGGAAATGAGCGGTAAATTCTGCTGGTTGGTTTGGAACATGTTTTATTGTTCCATTTCATATATGGATATATGGGATGTCATCCTTCCCACTGACGAACTCCATCATTTTTCATTCAAGATGGGCACATTGCACCACCAAGCAGTCTGGTAGAGATGGGCAGTCTTTCCACAATTGTGTTCCACAATGATGAACAAAAAGTGTGTGCGATGTGTAAATTGTGGAACAAAAAGGTCCCCCTTGTTTTTTTTGTATGATTTGTATCTCTAGCTTGGTGAAAAAGCCCTAGTTCTTTGATGGTTAAAGAAGTTATATCCCTACAAGCTTGGTATGGGCCGAAATAGCAGGTATGTTTGTCACTGAAATAACATCATTTATGGGATGTATAATTCCATAGAAATTACCAGTTATGGTCATAGTTATTTATACTATTTATATTTGGTAAAATGCCATAAGTGTGGGTAAACTCTCGCACAAGGTGGGCCCTCCCAGTTTTGCTTGTTGGTTTAGATTCGCCCCCAAAAATAGGTCGTTATTTGCCCTATTTAAACCCGAGTTATTGGAGTTATAAAGCAAGTTACCTATCTAGGGGCCCACCCAACCCAGGGGCTTTCTTGGCAATATGATCTGCAGCAGATGATGGCAGATGTTCCATGATTCGTTTTCTATGTCTATGATTCTGTGAGGGAAACTCCAAGCAGATACTAAATTAAACTCACAAAACATAAAGGTTTAGCCAAAATGAAAATGAATTTTAACGAAAAGCAATCGTGTTTTCATAGATTTAAGTATAAGTATGTTGGACTCCGCCAACAAATAAATGGGAGTGGCTTTGCTTTAAACCCGAAATAATGTGAATTCAGCAACAAACCAGGGGATGGATCCACCAAAATGGCGATATGTTGGGATACAACCAACAGTGTATGGGATACTGTTGGGCTTCAGTTATGGCCCTTTACCAGTTATAAGTACTTATAACTCCCCATGTATGGAATGTATAATATAATCCCACAATCCCATTGAAAAAACCAGTTATAATACATGGCCACAATTGTAGAAGGCTTTTTTCCTGTGAATGACCAATGACAATCAAAAGGTCCACAGATATATAGGTTGGTATGCAACCACATTTGAGTACGAATATATCTACAATGTGAGGCCCCCAAGATAGCTAAGTTGGTTTATAACTCCAATAACTTTGGTTCATGGTATTTATAACTATAGTTACTAGGGCTTATAAACCAACTTATATCTTGGGGGCCTAACCCTAGCTGGAGTTACCAGGTTAGCAGGGTCCCACTTGGCCCACTTGGTATGAGTCGTGCCGATCAACCGGCCAAGTGTGAGGCTAGTCTTGCAGAAATCTTCGGCTGCACAGGATATAATTTTCGATATATCCATAAAACCCAGATCTGGTTGGTGGTTTGGAACATGGCTTTTATGTTTCCATATATTGGGAATAATCATCCCAATTGACAAATATTTTTCAGTGCCTCGTAGCTCACCAATAAAGTGTAATATTTTGCAGAGGGACTGAAACCACCAACCAGAAATTGATCCAAATTGCACGTGTCAAAAACCATCTTGCCTATCTTGCTAGATCCACCATTTTATACTTAAATATCACCCTTTCTCTTGGTGTTTGAACCATGTTGCTGGTGATTTTCCCCATGTCTGTTGCTTCAATCTCCAGGTTTCTAACAGATCATAGTTTCTGCTGGTTAATTTGTATTTTTTGGTGATTAAATCCATGTTGTTCACATGTTTTGCTAATGAAATCCCAATTGTTTCTAATTTGTTTATCATGTTTGCTGGTGAAATCCTTATTTTTGCTATATCCCTACAGATATGGCCGTTTACCAATTCTAAATTGCTATAACGTGTTTTAAATGTGAGTATACATAAACCATAAATGGGTCTATTTCAGTGACAAACATAACTGGTATAACTCGGGCCACCGGCCACCTATCGCCGATCTCGCCAGGCCAGCGCCTCGGTGGTCGCCTCTTTCACTCTGCGGCT